TTATATTTCAAAGAGATTCATCGTATATAATATGGTGAAATTAGCCGTAATGAAGAAGGAATAATTCGTAATAGAAATCACAAGTTAGAGCCGAGCGTTTCGCAAGGAAAATAAAATGCGACGACGGTTGAGCGAGCTGGTTCGCGGATAAAAGACGTTTATCCGGTTTAGAAGTAATTGTACCTATCTCAAATCTCGTTCGTCCTAGCGTGGAAGGCTACGTTAAATTGCACTCGCCGCAATGATTACTCGCCGAGCGCAATGGATACGACGACGGATAGATAGGTCGACAACCCTCGTATTTACCCCCGTTATCGGGAATTATCCGGCGCGATGCTGAAGAATATAGCAACACGACAACGACTGAGCGCGAATGTATTTTCTGGAGGTACGTCACGTTTTCGCGAGGGACTCGCGCGGATCGCCTTTTCGTTTTCTTCCCGAGCAGTAACGATGGAAAGTACGAGCGTGCCCCACCGCGGCAACAAAAGCCGACCTTCTGGTGCTCGGCTAACGAGTCGGATGTGTTTAGGGTCAATTTGTCTATTATCTCGTTGTCAGTTTTATTTATTACACTTCTAACACGTCTCTCACGACGTACGTGCGACTTCCACCAGTCCGAGATTTCTCGGTGCAAGTTAATTAATTCTGATTTCTCGACTCACGTCGTTCTGAAATCGACGTACACGTACTTCCCGCATGACCGCAGCTCGTAGAGACCGATGCATTCTCTTTCTCTCTCGATATGATCTATTCAAATTCAACAAAATCTCGAAACTATCTCCCGAGATATGTCAATCCTTGTATCTTCCGATTATCATGAAAATATTATAGTAAATACTCTATATTCGTATATACTACGATGATGAGAGAGAAACACGTGTGTGGAACATGTTAACAATTAATCGATTGTAATGTCTGCAATGATTGAAGCACATAGCATGGGACACGTGACGAGTACCTGGAGTTCTGCACACATTGCGAGATCAAATGACGGGGAGTCAGTCAGTTTTTCTTACGGGGTCGTTCGGGGGCAGTTGTCGCGGTACCTTCGATTGATACGCGACTGCGTATACGTGGGTGGAGGTAAAGCCTCCTGGTAGAGCACGACCGACGCACGGGGAGAGTGACTTAATGTGCCAGTCGTGAGCGCGATTCCGTCGCGCCGCGTACTTGAAGAGCCGCGCGCGGCTAAGAAGCGGCACGGAGGGCGGAAGCGCGCGAAGAGAGGGAGCCCGAAGAAAGAAGAGAGAGAGAGAGAGAGAGAGAGAGAGAGGATCCTCTCTCTCCTCGAGGGAGATCGTCGGGACGCGTCAGTCCGTCCACATCCGCTGCCGGAAACGCTACCGGAAGAGATCGCTTCTTCCCGCAGGATTGCCTCTTCCTGCCGCCCTGAGGAACGACAGGGAGCCGAACGTGCGTTGCTTTCGTCGTCGCAGTGAGAGACGCGAGTCCTCCGCGTGTGCGCGAGTTCCCCGAAGATCGCGCGAAGATCGATCATCTCGCGATCACGCGTCGCGGTTACCGTCAGCGAAGACACCGTGGCGGACTGGAGCTGTCGGACTGACTCTTCCGACAAGAGGCGATTTCCGACAGGATAAAGTAAGGACAAACGATGCAATTGATTAACGATCTGAACGCCGAGGTCGTCCGCTCTGTTCTGATTGCCTCGGCATCGTGCAAGCTCGGAATCACGTTCGTCAAGCTCATCCTCGCGCGTTTACGAGATCGCATCCGCTCTTCTCACGTGTTTCTCATTCGTGACAGGAAAGTTTACACACGCGTTGTACATCGCGTATGAAGTTCGCAAAGAACGAGAATATTCTTCAAGCACATCCAGGTTACCTCGTGTTTTTCGACCTAATAAACGATGACCTTAATTGCGAGTAATCTGCGGTAAAGCAGCGGTCCCGCAGCTCAGAGTTAGAAATTCACGTATCACGATTCGAAATATTTAAGAAATGTGGCAAATCAATGCCAGAGAGAAGGAGAAAAAGGGAAAACAAGAGAGAAAGAGACGTTCAAAGCTCGGTGTCTTCGCACGCAACTCTGTTGCCGGACTATCAGGGGAATTAATAGTTTCAATTAAAGCGTCATGCTTTTAAGAGGCTTTAACTAACACGAAGTTCTTCGTCGTACAGCGCTTGAGCCCCACCGCGTGAAAAAACTCAAACTCGAAAGAGCCGCGTCGCGTTCGCCAGCGGAAACGCGGAAATTTTACAGTTCGTTAAGAAGCAGTTCGTTTTATGCGCCGCTACCGTCACATTCCTCGTACCGGCGGTACGACATTGTGCTTGCGCTTCTCCCGCGGTTGCTAATTGTCGCGCTCCGTTATTGTCGCGGATCTGGTTACAACTGCCCACCTATGTTTACACTGCACATAAATTTCAAGTGCTCCGTCGCAAGGCACAGGTGACGGCGCTCTCTTGATAACGGCGTACTTCGCACATGTCATCTGCGATGACAACAGTCAAACACGAACTAGATCGATCTCTCAAGTGACGTGTTTAAACAGCCACCTGGAATCCAGTCAAATAAGTCGTGCTTTGAATTCTTAACGATTATTCATTACGCATTTCTCTCACGCGCGCGTCAAAGTTCAGACTCTCTCATTCCTTCTTTCTGTTTGATGTCAATGTACAAGTTTTCTCCGCTGTCAGTCGAGGATCAAACTCTTCGATAATAATATATGAAATACTTAAAAAAAGAGAGACATAATTTATACATATTTATTGTAAAATATTCGAGACGAAAAAAGTATAAAGAAGAGAAAATTATCGGCATTTTTGTTCAGATTCAGGTTGATAATCCTACGACACTGTGTAAAGATTAACGCATCAGAGAAAACGAGATCGATGATCCTCCTGTGTGTTGATCGGTTCTTCAACCTCAAGACCTTTAACCGCCTAATCATTTCCATAACGCAATTCGAGCGAACCAATCAGATATTCCACCGGATAATTTTCTGATGGCACACAAAGGGACTTCTTAGCGACGAGTCACGTGTTTGAGTCATCACCCTTATCGTCGTCAATTAATCGATTCCTTCCACGATTTCCCCGTAGCCTGTTCCGTGATTACACGACCGACTTCCTTCATGCAAATTGTTACTTTTGTTCGAAATAAACGACACCGCACGCCACAAAACGACGACGACGACGACGACAATGAAAAAGCCCTTCCGCGTACAAAAGCCCTGGACGACAAAGCTCGACACGTGGTATGAGTCACTTGATATACGTGCGTGACCAACACGACTAGAAATATTCTTTTCAACGAGAAAAAGAAGAGAGAAAGAGAGAGAGAGAGAGAGAGAGAAAGAGAGTGTGTGTGTATAGATCGACATCTATCTTCGTGAATGTCTGACTATACTAACTATACTGTCCGCTCGATCATATATTATCTAACAGGTGATCGTCATCGCCCCCTTCGTGCCGCGATCTATTTTTTATTTACGTCATATGAAGTTCCGAGACTCAAATCGAGCGCTTTCCTACGGACCTCGTTAATTTTTATGGACGCGATGATGAAAACCCGTCGAGCCACTAGACGCGCACGAGACATCGCGAGAGTGTCTTCGTGCTTTTCACCCCTCTGAACCAAAAACACGGACACTCTTTATGACGACCCGGTCGTGGGTTTTGTTCGATATATCGATCTCCCGGCGAGAAGAGAGAAGCGACCTCCAGCAGAGCGTGGTAGGTCGCGAGTAACAAAATCGCGAAAGGAAAAGCTCGCACGAGGTCCTCCCGTCCAAGTCTTCGTACCGCGCGAAACACAGAACTTGAGGAAAAAACATCGGAGTTCGCAAGCTTGACTTGGAAACTCCATTTGAATCAGAAAACATCTGAACAACAAAAAAGTTCGCATTAAATCTGAAACGCAAATTACCGGCATAGCTTGTCTTCAACAATGTTTCGTTGGCCAGCGCGTAAGCAGCCCGTCATGCGTCCTTTATAAATACACACCCACGGACTATTATTTGCTGCACACCCTATCGATTCGACTCAACGGCCCCTTTCTCACGTCGGAAAGTACGCGCCGCCTTGAGACCACCCTGTAAAAGCTTTCGCGACACTAATCGCCGGAAGGCTTAAGTAGAAACTACCCGCGAAAAATATCCGTTCGCCGCTATCGGAGTGATCGAAAACTGCCGCTCCCACGTGTCTCTACCGTGATATATCCATCTATTGTTATTCGTGTATTGCATTATTATGTAGCAAGAATAGTGATTTCTTAATAAATGGGATATGCTTTCTAACCTTCATACGGCAACGTAAATCTACGCGCTCGTCGTAACGTAAATAAAATCGATCCTACACGAGAGATCCTAAAAAAAAATACAATTGCAGAACATTGACATTTCGTCAGGACCTTCTCCCATAATAACAACGACAATTCATTATCACATTTCGCTAATACAGTGTCCGTTTTGTCACATCCAGGTGCAGGATTATCGCTCGATATTCCCCGTGAAAGCTGCGCTACCTGCTAGACAAATTCACCGTGCAGACGTTCATCTTCATCGTCGCTCTTGTAACAGCCTCGGAAAAAGTCTAGGCACCTAAGAAGGAAGGATCCGAAAGAAATAACACTTTGTGGAAGACGACGGGACGGCGGATCGATTGGCGGATGATCGACGACCGTGCCGTCGGCGCTCGCATAACCGCGGCACTCGCGAGCACGGAGAAAAAGAGGAAACGAGTGGTTGCGCCGGCCTCGTCGTATGGGGAGGAAAAGAGCGAAGAAACGTTAGAGTGTGGCGCGAGACGAGATCGCAATGAAAGTCAATAAACCGTGATGAGTAACGGAGAGCAGTGGTCGGAGTGGCATTAATAAATTAGTGTCTACTTGCTGCAAGCAACAGCAGCAGCAGCAGCAGTAGCAGCAGCAATAGCAAGAGTCGGAGGAGGAAGAGGACGCGGAGGAGGAGGAGGAGGAGGAGGAGGAGGAGGAGGAGGAGGAGGAGGAGAAGGAGGAGGAGGAGGAGGAGACGCGTACGCGCGCGAGTCTCGAGTGCGTCGGTGTGCACGTGTGTGCGTGCGCGCGAATACGTGTGACCGGCGTGTCGATGCGGGGATTTGGCCAGTGTGTCAGTGTGAAAGAAGACAATTGACTCGCAGCCGCCGTCGGACGGTGCTTGGCGGGGGCCTTCTGACGTCACATCCTGCCCCGCGTACGAGCCGCGATCTCATCTGGACCACGACGCGCAAAGGTACGCAGATTCGTGTGCTCGACGCGGAGCCCGCTGGAGTTTAAAAAGCCGGCGCACAGGAGCGGATAGCCGCCGGTGCTCGTGGACCTCGCGACGTCCTCAACGGGACCGCGATGGCCCGGGCCGTCGTGCCGTTGGGAAATCGCGCGGTCTACGAACGAGTCGCATCGCTCGGAATCTTTCTTCTTCCGACCGTACGAATTACCCTGACTAGTAAGTGAAAAGTTGAATCGCGATCGGAGCCACGAAGATCAATGCTCGACTTGCGAACGCCGCGTCACTTTCGAGCACGATGCCGACTCATGTACTGCGACCGCGTTCGCTTGCTCCGAATTATAAATGAAGGCAGATAGATCAGTCCCGATTCATTTTTTAGATTTGAATTCATGATAAACCAGGGGCAACGGAATGCTTCCGGCATTGTCGACCAAAATGCTAAATTACAAAGAAGAGCACGAATATGTATAATTTATTTAGAGAAAGTAAAACATTATATATATATATATATATATATATATATATGTATTCTTAGATATCGTACGTGTTCCTGAAGAAGTGATATTTTTGTTGCTACAGGTTAATATCTCGTACTAATATCAGGAATCGATTATCCTCGGACACTCGGCATATTTTACGCGATCGAAAGCGGCTGCGTTCGGACGCTGTCGCGCAACGGTGTTGATGTGTCTTCGCGGTCGCGAGATTCCTCGCGACGGCATGAAATTTCAGATGACGTACGATAGACTCGTCTCCTAATTAACTGGGGCGTTGCGCGAAGCCCATACACGGCAAGGCACCGTGAGAGAGAAAGAGACAGAGACAGACAGAGAGAGAGAGAGAGAGAGAGAGAGAGAGAGAGAGAGAGAGAGAGAGAGAGAGAGAGAGAGAGAGAGAGAGAGACAGAGAGAGAAAGAGAGAGAGAGAGAGTGTGAGTGAAAGAGAGAGTGTGAGAGAGAACGAACTCGACATTGGTCATCGCGACGAGGACGTTACGATCAAGATACGACAAGGAACGGTCTCTTTCCCGGTTCCGCGATGGTCGCTCGCGATAATCGTAATTTCCCGCGATTTCCCGCGAAGGTCCACGCCGCGGCCGCGAGACTCTTTTCCTGCGATCCTCGTTATCCGTCAAGGTCGCTGCATGCGTCTTGCTTCGACGAACGTCCAAGTCCGAGTCGGAGGTGCGCTATTTACCGGCCCGATAAATTGCGGAACGACGAGGAGGAGTCCAATTTTGCGGCGGACGCGCGTTAAAGCATAACTGCATCGAGACCGGCACGATGATTTGCGTAAAGTATCCAGAACGGATTGCGCGTATAAATTTGAAGCGAGACAACCCGCCGAATGTGGCGCGTGAAAAGTGCGTTAGCTTCTAACGCAGCCATGCTTGACTTCGTCGTATAATGAGCTGCGCCGGGCTCGATGAAACGCTCAGACCTCAGACATTCGAAGAAGAACGGAGGAGAGTTCATCGTGAAGGTGCGTTCCTGAGAAATCGCGTTAGGACCGGCGTATCCGACAGGAAGCGTAAGGGCAGAGCCGATTATTCGCGGCGGGCGAACGCGACGCGTCGTCTTTCTTTCGTAGATCAAACTCAATTGACCTCGTGAAAGAGATAATTGCAGGAGCTTACGATACTCCGAGGGTGTTCGAGGAAACGACCGATGTCTGCGGTCGGATTACGCATCGTCGTCACACAACGACCGCTCCCGTCGTCGACGTCTCGTCCATGTTACGTTATTATCACGAGCGCGTATATCGGATGGATCGCGTTGCATGTATGAAGCCCATTGAAAGTGCGAAGGCACACGCTCAGACGCCACCCTTGGCTCTACCGGACGCTCAGATCCGAGCGGGAGATACTTGGGGATGAGAAAAATAAGAGATCGTATCGGAACGGTAGCGTCAGCTTAACCGGCCGCATCGAATGTGCACCTCGTTGCATCATTCATACGAGTCCGGTCGTGCCTACCCGCGATACGAAGGGAAGTCGTAAATCCGAAAGCGGCAGCTGCAATCGCAAAAATGCATCTGCGGATCATCGGGGTAGGCTCCGGAGTGTCGCGCGAGCGAGTAAGACACGCCGGAAGGACAACGTTGGCTTCTCGTGCGCTTTATGGAAAGGAGCGTGGGTGTCCACGTGGCTTGAATCGTAAAAAGTGCCCGAGGTGAGGCAGTCCTCGAGTATGAAAGCGCGTCTGATCCCAATCGGGATCCTAATCCTACCTCATCCGATTGAATCGATGGTACCGCTTAGAACGACGGAAAAACGTTCCGAGTGAGGAAAAAGACCAGCTGAGCGGTCGTGTTTTGTGCGAAATTTTTCCTGCAAATAATGCGGAACAAATCTAATTTGAGATTTGTCTCAGTTTCATTCGGGATCCTCATTGGTTTTCGTAACTTGGATATAAAGTGGGATGTTTCTAATGTATTTTATCTATTCTGGCTTTAGGCAAAGATTTACCTTCGTATTCAAGCATGGATCTGGCTAAATCTTTCAACGTAAAAATTTCATTCTTTTTCCAGCGAATGAGGGACAATGATCCACTGCGACAAGAGGATCCTCGGGATCCTTGTCTTACTGAACATAGTCGTAAAGATGCCGGCGAATCGGACAGATTCGCCAAAAACGGACACGGTTGAAGAAACGGAGATTCTTATCACAACCAAGAGAATTCTACCGGACAGGTGTCTCGTCAAGACAGAACCTGGACCTTGTAATCACTACGTTAATAAGTGGACCTTCAACAAGGCCGAGGGGAAATGCCGAACGTTCTCTTACGGTGGCTGCCTCGGAAATGAGAATCGATTTAATTCGGAAGCTGAATGTCTTCATTATTGCATCGGCGGTGCCGACCGTAAGATACAGAGAAGTTGAAATCCAAAAAATAATTTACGAATCTGCTTATAAATTATTCGCGACTTATCTACTAACTATAAAACAATTCTACTGAATCAATTTTCTCTTACGAAATATGTGATGAAAAAGCTCGTATTTTGATAACGCTTGACGACAGTCAAGGGGAAATATTACAAATTCATCAACCGTTTCTAGATACACTACCGCCTCTCATAACAAAGGGTGGCGTATTCGTGACAACGAGCACCACGACAAGCAGCACAACACCTCCGACAACTTCCAGCACACCGCGGCCGACTTTCACACCCCCGAAGCCGACGAAGCCGCCGGTGCCGAAGCACAAACGAGGAAAGGTAAAACCTTATAGCTTGCATAAGTACGTCACGTCTTGCGCAAACCAGGATTACTTCTACTTCTTTTTCTGTCGAAGGAGTTAACTTTCATGGAATCAGGCCACGAGAAGACGTTCATGTTCGCACAAAGTAATACTTTCATCCAGCTCGATGGTCCTGGCATCAAAACTTTTCAACTGAGGTAAACAAACGGCAACATTGAAGTGTCTGGTAATATTTACGTGACTTCATTCAATATTCACTCAATAAATAATGATATGATTATCACTTATACATAACGTGCAATTGTACGCGTTGACATTATTTGACAGATTGTGCCGCGAGATATCATTCAAGTTCCGTACAAAACTTCCGCACGGTTTGCTAGTCTATCACAGCGTCAAAGATCGCCCGGAAAGTCTCGACCCTTATGCTCTGTACGTGATAGTGGAAAAGGGTCAGCTAAAAGTTGTTCACGTATTCGGTAAACAATCGACCAGTTTGACAGTCGGCGAAGGTCTCAACAGGGACGAATGGCACAGCGTTCTCGTCAGGATCGATGTGCACGGAGCGAAGTTAATCGCCAGAGTCGACGATAAACAAGCCGAGACTACTCTAAAAGTCTTGGAACGTGTCGTGAATTATGGCGTGTCCGAAGAGTTAGCTTCTGTAGTTCTAATCGGAGGTAAGCCAAATTTTTCGTTAAACATCCAGAGATTTTTTAGCATCCTTATCTTTCTCTCTTCATCTGCCTTCGCAGGACTGAGCTCCGAAGAACGATTACACGGGGTAAAATACATAATAGAGTCCTTCGTCGGCTGCATCAGAGATATGGTTCTGAGTTCCGGAAAATCTGCCAGCGACTTACTACCCATTCGACCGTTAATCGCGACTAAGCATGAGAATGTTAAGGAAGGCTGTATCGATAAGTGAGTTTTCCTTTTCAAAGAAATTTGAGCCGGTAAATTAACCGGGGGAAAAATGGAATATTTAATTTTATCCTAAACTTGTAGATGCAGAACACGGGAGAACTTATGCTTCGTTCCCAATCAATGTGTGAATCATTACAACAGCCTAACGTGCGACTGCTTCGGGACGAAGTACGAGGGTGAACGTTGCGATGTGTACAGTACGTAAAATAATTGAGCTTAATATTAATATTTTTGTTTTTAACAAAATTAAACTCTTTTTAAATTTTTAACTTATTTATATATACTAGAACACTACAAGCGCGCGCTATGCGCGCGCCATTTAGCTTATTATTCTCTCTCATACTCTCTCTCACACTCTTCTTCTCTCTCTCTCTCTCTCTCTCTCTCACTCTCTCTCTCTCTCTCTCCCTCCCTCCCTCCCTCCCTCCCTCCCTCCCTCCCCCTCTCTCTTTCCCTCTCTCTCTCTCTCTCTCTCTCTCTCTCTCTCTCTCTCTCTCTCTCTCTCTCTCTCTCTCTCTCTCTCTCTCTCTCTCTCTCTCTCTCTCTCTCTCTCTCTCTCTCTCACACACAATTTAATATTTAATATTAAAATAATAAAATAAATAATATTATATATTATAAATATTTAATATTTAATTTAATATTTAATATTTTTGTTTTTAACAAAATTAAACTCTTTTTAAATTTTTAACTTATTTATATATATTTTAAATGAATATATTTATTTTCCCGGAATTTAAAATCGAATCTGTCGATTGTAAAAATTAAAAAAAGATGTTCGAAAAAATACGAACAGAAAACTTTTCTAGGAAACTCTGAAGTACCGTTATTAGAGGAATGTAATTGTACGTAGAAACAACGTCTAGAAGTACATTAGCCCATCAATAAAATGATAATGACCGCATGCGTGCCTAAACGTATTCGAACGTATCATGTAATACTAATGGGGAGTTCGTAACGTAAAATCATTTTTCAGCCGCAACGATACTGACGCTAAGAGGTTCGTCGTACGTGTCCTTCCGCGTGTACGATTGGAAGGATCGTGTTCACTCGTCTGTCAACAGGATCAGCCTCGCTTTTAAGGTATTTGACCACCGCGTTCATTGTAATGGGGTCGGCGTTCCTTTCGCTGTTGTATAGGCCCATTGATTCATTATGCCTGAGACGCATCTCTTTGACAAAGTTGGGGGGGGGGGACGACGCACTTTGTGCTTTTACGAGCAGCTGCTTTTACCTATCGACCAATTTCTATGACGACAAATTCACCGTGGAAATTCCTAGAGAGAGTATCGAGTTCTACCATCCGGATTATATCGAAACGGACTCTATTGTGCAGATGAAATTCGCTGCACATTGAATACTCAATTATGGTTACCCCGCGAATATGCCTGTGTTACGGATGTATTAAAAATCAATTAAGTCAAAATTATATCTGTTGGGCAAGAAACCACTACATAGGAAAAAAAAGACGTCCTTGTTAATGAGGACTCTAAATTGCGATTTGTAATTTGCAAAGGTCCGTCAAAGTTGTACATTTATCCTCCGCTTTCCGATGATACATACAAAAGCTAAGATTTTAGCTATTTCTTTTTTGGGCCGCAATTCTATATCTGACGTTTGTGAAACGGCAAATCTACTTTCAGACAAAATGGGACGATTCGGCGCTGTTTTACGCTTCCGGCGAGATCGATGGCACGCCGCATTACTTCGCAGCTTCGATCATAAACGGATCAGTCTACGTTGAGCTCGATTTCGGGCACAACTCGAAGATCTCTACCATGTTGGGCGATTATGTCACATCCGATCATTGGAACAACTTGACCATTTTTCACAACGGATCTGTCGTTTTCGTCAGTTTGGATGAAGAGGTGAAAGTGCTAGAAGTGCCGGGAGAAAATTACAATATGATCATCGATCCCGAGATATACATCGGCGGTGGACCGGAACTCCACAAGAAGAAGGGTCTTCTGTCACATAATAACTTTGCAGGTTGTGTGAAACGAAACTACTTGATTGATTCTAATCACTGTAACAAGCTTTGGTCGACAAAATTCTATCGCTTAACTAATACGATTTTATATTTTTCCAGGATCCTTGAAGTACGTGTTCTTCAACGACAAATCAATTATATACGAATTGAAACGCTCCAATCCCATGGTGCACTACATCGGCGTTCTAGAACCCGAGTACTACGAAGCTGACGTCGAAGTCATCCCGATAACGTATCCTTTCGCGGGAAGTCACATTTGGTGGCCCATCGAGCGAACCGATTCGCTGAAACTGAACTTCGACTTCAAGAGCTCGAAGCCGATCGCTGTCGTCGCTTCGGGAGAAGTAAAGAGCAATCGCGGACTTGGCTATTGGGAGGTGATTTTTCAAATTGCTATTTTACGTATTTCACGGCTGCTTCAGAGAAAAAGAAAGAGAAAGAGAGAAAATCGCGACTGTTTTCGTATCGCATTATAGCTCCGTCAAGTGAACGACGAAATCCGTTTCCATTTGCTGCCGATCGTGACGGAGAACATCACGGTGTCGGCGGCAGTGAAATTTCCGCCCTACAACACTTCTTGGCACGCAGTGGAACTTAATTACACGAAGGGCGAGCTCAGTATCTTAGTCGATTACAGGAACAAGCAGAGCAAACTCTTCGCGATGACATTCGAGTTAGGCGATAAGGTTATTATAGGGAGTGGTAAAAGTAACGCTGGTAAGTCGAAGATTTTTTTTTTAATTTATGAAAAACATGAAAGAAAGAGAAAGAATCTTTTATGCTTCTTATTTCCTTCTTCCTTGCGTTTCAGGTCTGGTGGGATGTATGCGTGAGATACGAGTGAACGATCAAAGAATCGAACCTAGATACGTGATCAACACCGAGAGGGTGATCGGAGAAGTAGCTTTGGACAACTGTCAGTTCGTGGACCCGTGCAAAAGGCCGAACACTTGCGAACACGGCGGTAAATGCTCGGTCAAGGAGGATAGAATCACGTGCGACTGCACGGATACTGGATACATCGGGAAGAATTGTCACTTCGGTAAGACGAATTGCGATCGCCGCACATAATTAACGACACGATTACCTATAATAACCTATAAAAAAGGAATTGAAATAATGAAAAGTATGTTCAAGACGTTCCTTTCTTTCTATACGATTTGTAAACATTACACATAATCCTGCTTTTAGCACAATACAGGAAAACCTGCGAAGAACTGGCCCTCCTGGGATATACGCAGGACGACGTTTACAAAATCGACATCGACGGGAACGGTCGGTTTCCGCCTGCCTTGGTAAAGTGCGAGTTTCAGTCAATCGAGGACTCAACTAAGACGATCGTCGAGCACAATCTGCCCTCTCAAGTGGACGTCAGATCCATCATCGAGAGCGACTTCTCCTTCAGCATCAAGTACAGACAGTTCACCGCGGAGATGCTTCAAGAGCTGATCTCACATTCGCTGTATTGCAGTCAGTACGTGAAGTACGACTGTTACAAGGCGCCCTTGGAGTTGCACAGCGCCACGTGGTTTTTAGGATCAAAGGGCACCACCGTCGATTACATCGGGAACGTCAATCGTGGGTCCTGCCCTTGTGGAAGTAAGTTTCTTTTCAAACGAATTCGCGATGCAACAGCTCTTACAAAGATCTACGTTCACAAACTTAACCGGAGGCCTCAAAGAGGATGTTATTTACTAAATATTTATTAATTTCGCTTTAGTGAACAGAACATGCGTGAGTCCCAACTTGAGCTGTAACTGCGATGTCTCCACCGGAAATGCTGGGAAATGGCTATCGGACGAAGGATACTACGAGACACCCGACTCCTTGGGCATCACCGGGATGGTATTCTTGCAGCAGAGAGATCTCGAGGAAGACGCTCGCGGACGTATCACCTTAGGTCCACTGGAGTGCGTGGAAACAAGTACGTTGAGGAAGAAAAGCATGCTACTGGCAATAAGCATGATTTTTTACATGATTAAACGATGGATATGATGAGATATTTTTAGGACAACTGTGTGTGTATGTGTGTGTGTGTGTGCTTGTATTAAGTATTATTTTATATAATGAGTCGCGTTATTAGACTTTTGGGAAAGCCAAATTTCTCGAGGTAACGACAAAATTGATCGAATCAACTAATGATGATTTCTAGACACGCAAAAGTACGTGGTAACATTCACTACATCGCAATCGTACATCGAAGTGCCAGGCTGGAGAAAGGGCGACATAGCTTTCAGCTTCAGAACAACGGGCGAGAAAGCTATCCTTTTGTATCAGCCACCTATCCGAAACAATTATCCTTCCTTCATGGTCGCGTTGACATCCGAGTATCGATTGACCTTCAATTTCACCCTGAACACTGGCACTATTCGCGAACTGGAAGTGAAGAGTCGGCGCAAGCTGAACAACGGTGAATGGCAGAAGATCTGGATCGACTACAACGACTATCACGTACGATTCATGATCAATACCGACTTCCAGATGGTAGATCTGTTGCCCGAGGAGGAATTCGGGCCTTTCGAAGGTTCGATGTTCATCGGCGGCGCTACTGCGTAAGTAACTTCCGATTTTCGTAATGAATTCATCGCTTACGACAAACGATGATCTTTAACGACGACTTCAACATTTTTAGAGAACACCTGAAGACCTCCTCTGTTCGACAAGGCCTCATCGGTTGCTTTCGCGGTCTCGTTGTGAACGGAGAGATATTAGATATTCACAGCTACATGTCGGTACATCTGTCGGAAATCATCAAGGACTGCAAGCCTTCGTGTCAACCTAACAAGTGCCAGAACGGCGCCAGGTGCGTCGAACTGTGGAGCAACTTCGAGTGCGTGTGCGAGAATCAATGGGCACACTTAGGCACTTATTGCGAGACAAGTAAATGAATAACCTCTTTGAATGGATTAATTTTGCACGCGACGACTGATTGATCATCTCACTGATCTCAATTGCCATTTTCGAGTTTAGACATCAACAACAAAGCTCTGACGTTTACTTCACCCGGAGCGTTCTTGAAAAAGAATTACTTCGGATCAGACGACAACGAGGAGAGGATGCTGCTGAAAAGCATGCTGTTAGAAAATATTCTGATCAATCTGAGAACTTACGACACGCATTCCCTGATACTCTACGCGAACGATCACCTGAACAACTTCGTGCATCTTTACGTCTCGAACGGCACCAATATCGTATACCTCTTTAACACCGGCAATGAGATCATGAATATCACCGTGGAGAATCCAAGTACGTCGATATCATATTCATTCGCGCAATATGCGTATTAGAATTTAGAATGGGATAACTCGTTTTTGTCAGATGTCAACACGGGAATCTCGGTGCAGATCGCTATAATTCGGGGCGAGAACTGGACCACGCTACACGTTAACGAATATAACGTCACGTTGAACGCGACGCCTGTACTGCTTGACACATACTCGAACAAACCGTGGACCAACCCGGAGAAAGAGGTTTTGGCACCGCAGCGACCGCCGGCGCCGCCGACTGACTATTTTCAGGTACGTCTTTCAGTAAAAAAAAAAATACTACTTCTTACTTCAAATTAAAAATCCAAGCAACGCTTGGATAAAACGAAAAAAATATTTCAGAAATTATTTATGGTATCTAATATCGAAAATCTAATTTTATCTTCTCTCTCAAAAGTGACGATTAACGACGTTTTGATTTAGGTAAATTTAGGAGGATTCGATCCTGACAATCTACTAAGAGTCGGAAAGGAAGGCGCCTTAATTCAAGGTTATATCGGCTGCTTACGTGGGCTTATGATAGGCGAGTACCTCGTCGACCTACCAAACTTAGCCAGCGAAGCGAATCACGAAGGCAGCAAAGGCGTTCTGCCGAATTGTCAGATGAAATGCGACGCGATGCCTTGCAAAAATTTGGGAATTTGCACGGAGGATTTTGGCAGGCAAGAGTCCTCCTGCAACTGCGAACTGACATCTTATTTTGGCGAACATTGCGCCGATGGTGAGTCGTTCCAAAGCTGTTCGTTGTATTAAAAGAAAGAGAGAGAGAGAGAGAGAGAGAGAGAGGGAGAGAGAGAGAGAAGATCAAACGATCTCATAACACCTTCAATTCAGTCTTTCTTCTACAGAAAATCCGCCGAAGTAACACAGCATTTTCTCCGGTAACTCTAACGTAAAAATTATCTGTCACAGAAAAGGGTGCAGACTTCAGCGGGGAGAGTGTTCTTCAGCGAGAGTTCGAGCTGGAGGGCGAGATAAACCAGGTGAAAGTTCAGCTGGCATTCTCGACGAATGAATTACGACAACGAACTACCGCGTTGCTGCTGGTACAGACCGACAACAAGTAAAGCATCGATCTTAATATCGTACTTAATCCTCGTGCTCGACATACAATTGTCATTGACGCCTGGAGTCCTGGATGTCTTTCGAAGAACTTTTTTCCAGAAGGAGCTACTACTTACTGGTGGCCTTGACATCTGAGGGACAGCTTATCTTCGAGGAGGATCGAGAAGGCTCAGCTTACGGAGTGCGTCTCAACGACCGAAACTTCCTCAACGGTGCACGTCACAGCGTCTACTACGATCGCGACAATAACACATCCACCCTCTTGGTTCGTCTCCTGCGATTTCTCCTTATCTCGATATCTCCACATACCTCGTGAGAACTATTCTGGATAATATCGTACAATTTCAGATCGACCGCGAACCTGTGCCATTACTGCCTATACCAATACTAAGCTTAGGAGACGAGGACTCTGAAACTCCGGGTGCCACGGAGATCCAACTTGGCGGACTGAACACCACTGACCCGCGATTCAGCGCCTACAAGGGATATACCGGCTGCCTCAGCAGTGAGTGTCTTTTGTACTATACTGAATGTGTCGAAGCGACGAGACGTCTAATCGTCTGTTTGAGCGAATTTCAATTTACGATTACGCTCTTCTCGCAGACGTAGTGATATCAATCAACGGCGGCGCCGGTATGAAACCGTTGGAGGAATATATGCTTTTTACGAAACAAGGCAGCGAAACGGTCAGAGCGACGATACCCGCCGGCGTTAGAAGCGCCCAATGCGCGGTCTTTCATGCTCAACCTCATGGCCTCGAGCCGTCTAGGAACGATAGTGTGGTAAGAAATTCAGTTGAAATCAGAAATCAGCTAATTATCGGTTTTACGTTACGTAATTCTTCCCATCGACTATCTCTGACTTTACAATACAATTAATTTCTTGGTTGCGTATTTCTACCACGTCCGAGAGAAGTTAGAGTAACATTTGTTAAAGGGTCGTGATCGAGCATGGGTGGAGGACCCACCGGAAAGGATCCTGTACAAGTCGCAATACTCGGGCGCCACTCAGGAAGAGCAGGGTGCAGGAACATACATCTTCATAGCTCTGTGCTGCGTCTTCGTGGCCGCAGTGATCGGCTGCATTTACGAGGTATGGCGAAGCGCACGGAAGGACCGTCAACGACGTCGCACCGCGACTACGGGAACACCACCGACCACTGCGGTCGCTTCTGGTTCGCAACGGTGGCAACCGCAGTATACGGAGTCCCTGGTAGCTGCCGCCGGCGTGAAGACAGTCGGCTTCAAGAATGTGATAGACGACGACAAGAGGCCGAACGGGACTCATGTGAAAGTGCCCAGCGCGAAGGAATACAAGCCACTGCCGAATACGGAGCCGAAGGACTTAATGAACGATAAAAAGGTTCACATAAAAGGTACTCGAATTTATTCTATCTCCCATCTAGGTAGGTAGGAAAATCGATGGAACGAAAGAAATTTCTTACTGTTAAATTTCGATTTAAAAATCGATGTTACAACGTAAGTTGTAAAACAGCTGATTTCTCATGTAAATCGGACAAGCAGAAATTCGTCAAGCTCTTCCTCATCCATCTTGTTACTATTTTCAAGATTACGTCATTTGTCGTTATTATGTTACATAAAGTTTGTTGAAAATGGAAATATCGTGTCTCATACTTAAACGTTTCATAAAATGACGAGTGAGAATCTCTGCACGTGAATGTCATTTTCTTTAGAGACGTCTATACGCTGCTCGTTGAGAATTAACGTTATGTAATTTTGTGTGCATTGCAGCGGACGAAGAGCCAGAGAAAAAGGAGCTCCTAGGGGTAAATACAGGCATCGTCACTAAACCTGCGAAACCGAATCCATTCGTAAAGATTTTTTCTTTTTTTCGTAAAAAATGCACGTTCAGCTTTGTCGAGCTTGCAGAGCTTTTGCATGCACTAGCCGGTTTCGCTATCATTTCATACCTAACACATTCATATACATTATGAGACGCATTTCTCATTAAACACACTGAACGAAAACGAATCGATTGAATCGCTTCTCCTTCGAACTCTTCCCATCTTGCTTTGTCTAACTTCACAATTTGTCATAAGTACATCGATATTGCTTTATGGAAAAATGTACAAGTACCTGATCTAATCGACAGTGCTCTCAAATTCTCATTGTCATTTCAAGCCCAAAGTCAAATGCAATTTTCAAGACCTCACAAAACCGCGCTTTTCTCGCAATGCTAAATAAACGTAGCAATACTTTGGATATCGTAGTTCAAAAAATTATCCCTCATTCTATTTTTCCCCCACAGTCGATGGAAGATCTGAGAGAGGAACCAGAGTTGGAAGAGCGCGAGGAAGAAGAAGAAGAAGAAGAGGAAGAGGAGACGCAAGAGCCAGAACCGGAACCAGAGCCGGAACCGGAACCGGAACCGGAACCGGAATCAGAATCAGATGCGGATAAATCCAAGGATCAACCGCAAAATAAACAGCAACAGGAGGAGGAAGAGGACGAGAGTAACGATCATGACGGCGAGCTTCTCGTTAGGCCGGTAAGAAACGCGCTAAGGAGAGCCTCCTTGACTGACGAGCTGGACGCGGTTGACTCGCAGGGCCTTCTCGAGACGAACTTCTCCGTGACGGGCCTCAATGAAATCAAAACCGAGCGCATAATACCTAGGACAAATAACATCACGAAGGACACGCCGAAGAGGCCGATGAGTCTCGACCTGAGCGCGCCGATAAAATTCAGAAAGTCGCGCGAAATAGTTCAACCCGAGAAGGTCACTGCGAGGTTGATCGACCAGCGACTGGTGACAAAGTGAGTCAATCGCAAAGCACGGGCGCTACGTCGACGTTTGTGTATCACTCTCAGGATTAAAGATCGAAATTGGTAGAATTTCGTAGAGCTCGTCACAAGAAACATGTGCGAAAAAAGTTTCACCGACCATCGCACATCTGTAACATCGATATCTTTCAACTCGACGAAATTACCGATTTTTATCTACCCCTGCTTAGGCTAAGTGATTAGATCGACTGACGACAATAATATGTACGCTCAAAAAGTGATCGTTCGCTCGTATTATTTTGTAAATATCGTGCGAAGCGATCATATTTCAGTGACAATCATTATACGCGACAGGTGACGTGCACATTGAAATCTCAAGATAAAGTATAACCATTCTGTTATGGGCATAAGTTTTGGATGACATGGTTAAAATATGATGGAATTACGTAGAAAGATTTACGAACTACTAAATGCCACAAGTAACTGATGCAAAATTTCGAATATTTCACTTAGGCTTATAAAATTGCGAATTGGGCATCTGTTGTTCTTTAGTTGATCGTATAAAAATTACATTCTTCGTCTAAAATGATAGAAATTCGTCATTAAAAAAATCGAACGGCAAAATGGCACGTTCCGTACATCCGTAACGAATCGCGAAATTATAACAATATTAATTTCAACTGTCGCGTACGATATTTTATGTACTTATACGAGTCCTTATATAGCTCGTTCGTTTACCCCAAACTTTGGCTCGCAATAGCCTCTTGGGGTCAGAGAAATATATTAGAATAGTGTATTCTTAACTGAAATTAGCACGTAATCAAGCACTCGTATTTGCCTTATTACGTAGCATGTCGTCAGTATACGTCAGTATTGATTAGCTTTAGACAAGGCTACACGTACTTAGTTCAAGTTAAGTATTATTTAAAAACTCTAGAGTGCCTATATAATAATTGAATATCCATAATTACGGAAACGATAACGAGATAAAAGTAAACTTACAACGAGCGTCCCGAGATAAGATAGCACAAAGTCATCTTCGAGATATAAGCCACATATTCTCATCCGCAAGAAATATGTTGATTTATAGCAGCAATACTGTATGTTTTAACAACACCGTTGTATCTGATACCACGCAATCGACACATCGAAAACAAATTCACTGCATAGATTTATCATCAATCATCGCGGTGTACGCTACAGACGGACTATCCAATTACCTAATTACAAAGTTATCTCTGCCAAATATATCATAAATTTCATATATATTGAAACTTTATATTTTTAATACGTAAACGCACAACAATTGTGTGGCTCGTTCTGTGTACACCTGCGAGTTGATTTAGTTTGACTTCGCTGCTTCGTGCAATTGTACAAAGCGAGTGTGGCGTTTGTATGCTTTTTGGTGGCGATCAAGGTAATCATGCGGAGAAATTCACGAAGCATTTAGGAAAATCATATCACTCGGCGAATATTGGCGCTATCACGAAAATCCAGTCGTTAATACAAGGCGCCATACTTTCAGCACAGAAACTGGTCTAAGACGAGTGTCGACGAGAGTGTTATACCGTTAGACTCCATTTTAAAACCCGATGAAACGAAAACGTCGGATATCGAACTATAGAGGTACGGGTTGTCGAATGATAGATAATAATATAAACGAACATTAAGCTCGACAATCGCATCTTGACCTGCATCTCCACAGCCTTTCGTTTCCCTTACAATCTCTTATCGTGAGACGCAATTTATATCTACGGTATAACGCATCCGAATCTGCTTCCGATGCGTTGGATGCATTGGCAATTAACAAGAAACTGCTTACGGCGATGCTATTGTGAATCAAACGCGATCAGACGAATTGAAAATTAAATAAATACAAATATAAAAAAATCATTACCAAAATACAGGAAAGATTACATTATATATATATATATATATGTATATATTTATATATTTTGCATTTCGAAGGCAAGGCATTTTGACTTTATTGTGCAAAGGCATTTTGACTTTGATGTGCACGTTAGATTAGCACGCTCACAATAGCACAGCTAGTCAAAGAGATGCGTTATATATTCGAATATACTTTTTGCACGATATAAACGCGATGGTGCATCCCGCGGAACATTACGTTTTTCTGATATGACATAACCGCTAGACATTAAATCATGAGCCTCGAAACAAATTTTATAGCATGTTATATATATACGAAAAGTGTGACAGAGGAAATATAAAAATTTTTTCCATCGATTTATGTCTGTTGCATCGTCGTGACCGTCTCACGCCTTTCCCATACTGCCAAGCTTTTTCTCGCAAGCTCACCGTCTTTCTCTCACAATGAAACCCTTTTTATCTTAACCTGGGAATGGATAAACAATTTGAAAGATTGGATTTGCACTCACAAGACACAATTCACAAATCGTTAGTGAAAATAGTGTATTTTGTGCAATAAATTATTTCTTCTCTGTCAGGCAAGCATGTGCATGATCTGCTGATAATACTTTATTATGTATGTTTAATTAACAAAAAGAATTTTATCGAATTCCTAACGGGAGATTAAAATGTTTGATTGATTCTAGGTCTATAGAAGATAAATCAAGAATTAAAATACTATTGTACATTAGTATTTTCTTGAATAAATGTCTAATATAAGTTGTTGCGGTGCAACCATTCCCAGGTTAATCGTCGATTTAAAAACATTCAACGAAGACATTGTTGATGCCATGAGAACATCGCCTCATCATATGCACGCTTTGAGCAAGCAGGGAATCTGATTTTTATAAAATAAGCCTATTCAAAGTGCCTAAGCGTACTTGCTACATATACGTACTAACCAGGAATGTAAAATAAATCTTTAGTTTCGTCTTGAAAAATGATGCCTATGCCCATCGCGATACGTCGCATGAATTACGGCGAGAGATTGAGAATTTTTAAATAATCTTTCGCTCTATTTAGGCGCCTATCAACAAAGATACTGGACGACAATCAAAGATGCAAGGAAATTCCTCCGTAGGTCAGTAATAGATATCAGAAGAAACAAAGAGAAGTATTACGGTTGTTTAATGACAGAAATTCTAATGGTATACTTGAAACGATATAATGAATATTGAAGTTAAATAATTTGCATTAATAATAATCAGTGTATTAATAATGGTATTGTATGAAGCATATTAATTTCTGTATTGACAATTAACATTAATCATGCTAATGATCGATCATAAATGCCAAGAAATCTAAATTAAAATTTGAGAAAAATTATTTCTCGATATAATAAAAGATGTAATAAAAGTTTTCCTCGTTAACATCCAAATATACGCGATTTCAATTAAAGGCTTAATTACGAACACTATTTTGTTATCTTTTAGAACGAAACAAGCCGATGATCTTCAATCTGTTTCCTATCTTTCTACCGGATGGCCAACGAACATTCGGCAATCCACTGAGTTATCTCGGAGGTCCGAGGTTACCATCGAAGAATAGATCCTCTATCGAATCGGTGCTGTCGTTAGATTGATCGTGGATCGTCCGTACTTTGCCCTAAGTGACCACGCAAGAATCCTTAGGACAACGACGAATCGTATTTCCCGATCGAGAACGAAAAGTCTCGAACGTGTTGAGTGCCAAAACAATAAATTTTTCTCAGGATAATTTCACACATACTAGAGCAGATTCCAAATGCTTTATTTATTAAAAATATTTCTAAAAAGGAAAAATATATGTTTATTTAATATTTCCCTTTGCACTTAACACATTCGAAATTTTCCGGTTTCAATTCATCTCTCATTATTACAGAGTCATCCGTTTCTCGAAAGGCTCGTGTTAATAATATTTACAATTTCATCAAGATTCGTTTGGATCAAAATCGCAATCGGCGAATTTCATCCGCAATAATGCATTATTGCTAATAAAGATGATCTTAGACGTGATAATGAGCTTAGCAAGATAATTAGTAATTATGACAAATCCGATATTTTTTTTGCAACAATAGACCTAAGAATCTGTCGTGCTCAAATGTTTCTCTTCATAGAATGAGAGTTTTTTGTAAAAATAATTATTTCTGAGTATATAAGATAATTCTTAATATCTTTCTTCTCATATTATATTATAAAATTTTTAATTTCATATGTATTTTGCATCCTTGAAGAGTATATATAATTGAGGATATATATATATATATACACATATATATATATATATATATATATACATATCCTATATATATATAAATTCTGTTTCCTTATCCCTCAAGATTTTATCAATTCCAAACAAAATTAAAGTGACGATTGAAATAATACGTGGACACGACAGTAAGTTTCAAGCTAAGTCACGACGCCTATTCTTTATCCTAGTCAAGGTTTAATCAATCTTTTGTGTAGCGTCGTGATTTTTAAGTTACTACGTATGACTGCCTTGTACATGCAATACATTAATGCTGCCTGGTATGTTTACATTCAAATTTTATAATACTTAAGAAACATATCTTCTCAGTTACACAATTAGTATAGCTCAATTCCTTTGTTGTAAGAAAACAAGGGACAACTCTTTATAAATGTCAACATACCAAACAGCCTTAATGCATGATATATAAAGATAGAATAAAAGAAGTTAATTGCTACAACAGGGAAGAGATTGCCTTGTAAGGATATTTAATAATCAGTTGTACGAATAAAGATTTCTAATAAAATTCACATGTAAAATTGCTTCTCAGTTATAATTACTGCTGAACATACCTTGTTATGCATGCGTGTGGGTGTGTTTGACTCATGGAGACGATCAGATCATATCTTCCACATTACCAACGATTTGATCCAAGATCTCGTCCAAAGCAGTCTTTCTGAGAAGCCATCGACAGATAGAACATGTTATATTCAATATGTCGTGTATTATTTTGACGAAAGAAAACAAAATAGTTAAAATAATATGTAAGATAAATGGATCGAGAAATGTACTTCGAATTCTATTATAACGTTGAAATGATCGTTGGAGGCGTTGCATTCTCCTATATGAAATAACTAATTATTTTCATCTTCAAATAGTCATTCTATACTCACATCAGTCGTCGCATAATATCTTGTTTCTTTTGTATATCAATAATTTGAAGGAGACCGAAAAATATTGATAAAAATCGGAATTATTTCTGCGAGGATACTGAATACGTGCGAACGAAATTGTATCCCGCGAACTTAGCGCTTTAACGATTCGAGAATCGCAATATTTGGTCTGTTCTTTTCAGCTGTACTACTGAACTGGTGCAATAAGCTAAAGCGAGAAAAAATATAGTTGTCTCATTCTAACTTATTGCACTAGTTCCGCAGTGCAGCTAAAAAGAGCAGACCAATTGTGTCCGATCTCGAGAGACACTGTGATAACTTCACTCAAAAAGCAGTGCATGCGAGACCAATCGCTATCGCATTCTGCAGCACGATATCTATCGATATCTAAATTATTAAAAAAACGGCAAGCAAAATAAGGTTAAAAAAAGTTAGAGAGAATATAAAGAACGATAACGGTATTATACTTTTCAATTATTCGAGACTTATCAAATTATATCAACTTAATACTGTAACCTGTTGTAAATGTCTTACCAAACAGTTAAATTATCGACGAATGCCGCGCTGTTACATGGAAACTATCGCAAGTGAGAATCGCACACACGCCACAACAAGCAACATGGTCGACTATGGCGAGTGGCGTCTATGGACAAGACGTTTGTTGCTGTTTACTAGTTAAATTGAAAACGATTTATTAATAAAGCTGCAATCAGTTTAATCGCAAAATGGCACAAGCAAAACTTAATATACCGGAGAAATCCGGTGGTACGCTTAAGGAAAAAGACAAGGATGCTGAGGAAAAGGAAGGTAAGATTTTATAATGAATCATTTGATTATATGTATATATGTGTGAGTGTAAATTATTTGATTAAGTATATGTTTGAATATACTTAATATGTAAATACTTAATACTTAATATGTAATTAATATAATGTATTTGTTTCAAGCAACAAATTTTGCTACTATTTCAGTTCCGGTCATACATATAGAAATTTGTAATTCTGTTCATTATTTCTTTAGGTCGTACTACTGTGCCAGAATGTGCAGTATGTCTACAGCCTTGCATTCATCCAGCAAGATTACCCTGTAGTCATATATATTGCTACCTGTGTGTAAAGGGTGTTGCAAATCAAAGTAAACGCTGTCCAATGTGCCGTCAAGAGATTCCACCAGATTTCCTTGAAAGGCCTCAGTTGGTAGAGATTGAAGAAACACAAAAAGAATCAGAACATTCAGAAGAAGAGTACCAATGGTTCTATGAAGGTCGAAATGGTAAAGTATTGTATTAAACAATAATTACATTTTGTAATCAACATTTAAAATTTATGAGTATTTTGTTAGATATTCTTTTTTCCATATTTATATATATTAAAATTATTAAATATTCATAAGTATTTTCTCTATATGCATATTCATATGTTTTCTATTAGCAATAACTTGCAGTGTCTTTAAAAACATTTGTATATGGACGCATATTAGTTGATATCCTACCCCTTCTTAGGTTGGTGGAAATATGATCCAAGGACAAACAAAGATCTGGAGACTATTTACAAACTAGGGGATGCACAATGCGAACTTTTGATCTGTGGCATGCTTTATGTAATTGACTTTGAGAACAAGTGTCAATATAGAAAGTATAATCCACGTTACAAACGCAATATTAAACGCGATAGTAAAGATGCTCCATGCAAGGGTATCTCGGGTGTATCATAACATTTATATAAATATGACCAACTACTACCTGATAAAATGAAAATACTGTTAAAACCAAATTAATAATTAATGGCGTAACATATTGAATATGGATATATCTATTTACAGTGTGCAAAAATTATATATTGCATCTTACATTATCATAACAATTACAATTATAATAAAGCATCCCATAAGTAAGAATATTATATATGATTTATAGATTTGTAGATATTTGTATGACACGTGAGAGAAAGATGCTTATATATTAAAGGTACCTTATAAAAAGGCTAATTGAACGAAGTCATTATTGATGGATTAATTGCTATAATATGTACTGCATAAATGATGTTTATTCTACAGAATACAGAAAAAGATGCATATATCTTCACATAATAAAATAGTATTCTACATCCAAAAGAATTTTTTCTATATTTTCCCAACAATGATTTTACTATTTATTATGTTTTAAATTTATTCATATATGCAAATGAGAGATACTTGGTTTGCTATTTTTTCCACGAAATGGAACGTGATAGATTTTTAAACGAATTCTTGCAGGTTGGTGGCAATATGATGAGCGGACGAGTATCGAGTTAGAAACGGCATATAAGCAGGGCAGAAGAAATTGTGAGCTACTAATTGCAGGATTTCTTTATATTGCCGATTTCGGCTCTATGCTACAGTTGCGTAGAAACGATCCTTCTAGACGAAGAAGAATTAAAAGGGATCTGTACAATGTTCCAAGGAAAGGTGTTGCTGGGTTACGGCTCAATGTACAAGATGAGGAAATTGTGAGAGAGATAAGAGGCGCAGAACGTCCAGCTAGTCCTGCGAGTGATAGTATGGGTACGAAGTGATAATATAAACAATAAAATTATTCTGTTATATTCTGATTATAAAAACTGTTATATGTCATTATTATTATGAAAGTTCATTGTAACCACAAATATAAGAATCGTAATTATATGTTTTTCATCAAATACAAAGACTTTTGTGCTTACAGGTACAGGAGATGGAACAAATACCCCCATACCACCTAGCAATACACCGCAAACACCTGCAGGTGGGACGGCGAGTGGCGATGCTACACCTCTAAACGATAGGATAGATCAAAGATCAGAATCTTTGCATCAAGTTCTAGAGCAAATGCGTTCACTTGTTTTAAGAGAGCATTTATCTCTAAGCAGTGATAACGAGGAAGATACGGAGGATTTGGCAATTCCGGATCATGCTGCTCTCTCATAGCTACAAATGTTAAAAGCATATTCGTCAGAGACAGTGATAAAGTCAGAGACGTGTTTAAGAATCTCCATCTTGTTTCCAAGCTCTCCATCGTGATGTTTCAAGCATTCAGCTCAACAAGATAGTATAATATACGCATATTCACGATATTACGTTTGCTATGAGCGTAACAATGTACAAACTTTATTAATCTAGCGAACAGCATTGCTCAATTACAAGACGTACGAGAAATCGTTACAATTTAGTTACAATTAAGTCTTTCAATCTCTAAATCGTTATTTTTATTCAGTGTATTAAATCAAGTAATTTTTTTTTCTTGCTTTTAAAAAAGTCTTTAATTATACTTGATGTTTGATAAATCGAAATGAATATTATTGTCGTGATAATAGTGAATGAGAATTTCCTCTATGATTAGGAAAGAAGTAGATCTATGTATATTTATAATTTATCTTATAATTTATGATATATTTCATTACTCGCTGAAATGTAATTGATGTACTTAAGACCGTGACTCGTTTTGAGAATTATTATGTTATGTAACAGTAATATATATCTCGTACATTGGAAGAAAATAATATAAAATAAGATTGAAATATACTACAGTCGTTCAGACATATTAAAGTTTCTAATAAAAATGTGTTCATGCCACAAAGGCGTATAGAGAGCGTGAAATATAACGAGAAAACGAAAAAACATTTATTCTTATGATAAGATTGAGTGCAATACGCAATAATCAATAATTGCTGATTTCAAACGAACTCTCTGACTCTCAATGTTCAGAATTCTGAAGTTATCGTCGTCTTTCTTATATTGCACATAGAAATAAAAAAAAAATATCAACCGTCATGCAGTTTATTATTATTACCCTAAAACCAGAAATTCAAAACTTACAAAGGCTCAATAAATAATATATTTATATGTAATATAGAGCGAAGCACCAAGAGTAATTAATTAACATATTTATTGATACAAAAAATAAAGATTGCGACAAATGATCGTTCAGGTAGTCTTGGCTAACATTTGAAATAAGCGCGCTTTTAATACGCGGATGAACTGGGTGCGAACACCACTCGATAAAGCTTTCGGATTTGGTTAGTTTATGCTTTTAGATCCTGATGGAATATGAAAGTATGAACCAACTAAATTTAAGAACCTACCGAGCGCTAAGTAAACGGGTGTAATACCGAATGCGCGCATCGAATGTACTCAAAGGACCTTTCCGTTGGACAAAGGATTAGCAGATCAGCACCGAAAGTGACCGAAAGTAGTGTATTTTTTGAAGCGTGTATGGTGCGGCAAATCTTTGTCATTAACGGCGGTAAACTGCGGGAGAACTTGAAAGAAAGAATAAGGTAGTGGAAAATATACTTAGTTTCAGGTATGATGATGTAGCATGAAACCTAATAAGAAAATTTACGTCCCGTTCACTCTTATGTTTTTGCGACATCAGGAATGTTTTGTATGCGTCAATGGGTATGTGTATTGTACACATTTTCGGAATAGGGGGTCAGTGCGAAGGACAAGTATTATACAACCTCAATAACTGATTAACATGATTTTCGCTGAAAAGTCCGGAACGAAACGAACGATAAGTACATTCGCGAATTAAAATATGTAAGAGAGGTTCGAATCGCGATTATTTTACAATGGTAAGTGTTGGGAAGGAATATGTGTCGGACATGGAATCACGCAAAATTGTACGATATTCGCAGCTCGTCGATTCGATCAACGTGATGATACTTAATTGATACGTTATTTTCTGGCTACATAAGCTAGTGCTCGCATGGTCGTAGATGACTCTAGACTAATACTTTTAAAGCCAAAGAATACGAATAAGAAATAAAAATTTGAACAATAATTGAACACTTATATGTTACAGATTGATAAAAAAGATAGAAGGATAGAAGAAGTTACAGTTATCATACAAAGAACTAAAATTGTTTGATCTAAGGACATAACCAGGACAAATCAAAATGTCTCATCATAGAGACAACATACCATGCCCTACTGAGACCATCATCTTTGTCACTCATGTTGAAAGCGATCGGGAGTACTTGAAGATCTGGGGTCAACAGGATACGCACACTGCTACCTGTGTGGAACGGTTCATTTATCCCTTGGTTGAACAATTCTCTCAAGGTTATGGCCGTCCATCTAAATCCAATCCACCGATGATTGGTGCTTTGTGCTGTGGCAGATTTAAAAATGATGGCTATTATCGCGCAAAAATACTTGATATACGTCGTGATGGCATGATAGTTGTGCATTTTATTGATTATGGCAATATAGAAATCCTGCCACCAAATGATGTCCATTTGTTGGGCAATATACCTGGATCGGAACCTCTACAGACTTATCCAGCAATGGCAACTGAATTTATATTACTTAAAATATTACCTGTAAATGGTGTTTGGGAAAATAGAATAATAGAGACAATCAAGAATATCCTATGTTACAATGAATATAGAGCTCTTGTCAGTAATGTAGCCAATAACCGTTTCCTAGTAAAACTGTGGTATAATAATGAAGATTTCAGTGATTTATTGATCAGACGCCACTTAGGTTTACCAGCAAATGTGCAAGATATTTGCAGGTATATTTTATATTTAGTTTGAATATAAATATATTCTTTTTCTTTTTTTAATTTTATATATAGGTCTTGAAATTTATTTTGCACATGTTACATAATTTTTTATGATTTAGAATGAAGTCTTTCTCACAACCGGAAATGTTATCAACACCAATGTATCAACAACAGAATGAAGGCAATATGAATAATTTTACAACAATGCCAATGATGCAAAATGCAAATATAAATCAGAATACCAACATGCAAGGGATGTATTGTAAAGCTCCTTCTCCTAACATTACTCAACATAAATATATTGCACCTCAACTGTCGCCCCCTGTTCAAGAAGCACTCGTATTCAAGTCTCGAGTCTTGGATGTAGGTACCATGCATGACGTATTGGTATCATGCGTGGAAGATGGTCCACAAAAATTTTCTGTGCAAGTTCAAAGTACGACAGAAATACTGAGCCGACTTATGAAAGAGATAAATAACCGTCCGAAAGAACCGTTGCAAGAACCACCATTACCAGGATCAGTTTGCCTGGGATACACAGAGGGTAGAGTACTGTGCAGAGCAGTTGTGATGTCCGTGATGGAACACAAGTGCAAGCTATATTACGTCGATTTCGGTCATACAGAGGTTTTACCATATACAGACATCTTTCAATTACCACCTGAGTTTATCAATCCCAAAGTTCTTTCCATTAGATTTACATTGAGCGGCCTAAAGGAACTGAACATTACACAAGAGATGAAAGACTACTTTAAAGAACTAGTGTCAAGGAAGCTGCTCTGTTTACAAGTCCGTCCACCAGAAGGACCGCCCTTGATTCAATACGGCGATCTTTATGATAATGGCATTAATATAAAAGACATGCTGAAAAAGGCATTTCCAGTACCAGCTACAGTACCGATGATGTACTCTTATCCGCAATTACGCCGACTGTCAAAAGACGTTCAGGAAATCATACATGTGTCGTTCGTGGAATCGTGTAAGAAATTTTTCGTACAACTTGATAGTGGAACAAAATCCCTCGAATCAATAATGGCTGGTCTGTCACAGTATGCTAAAACTTCGTCTGCTTTTAATATGGCACAACTGAAAGTAGGATTACCATGTGCTGCATTATACGATTCAGAATGGTAAAGCTTGAAACAATATTTTCGGTTATTGTTATTTTAAATAAGATAATATATATAATATAATAATAATATATATAATAAGATAATATATATAATAATAATTATCTTGTGCATTTTACTTATTCAGGTATCGAGCACAAATTGTTAACATTAGTGGAGATAAAGTCAAAGTTGTATATGTTGACTATGGAAACGAGGAGACACTGTCCATAATGTCGCTACGCACGATTCACGATGATTTAGTGACGAAACTACCGGCACAAGCTATAAAATGTGCATTGAATGGCTATGAAGTACTCGCACCGGATCAGGAAATTACCAGTCATTTTGAACGATTAACGCTCGAGAAACGTTTCTACATGAAAGTTGTTGCTTCACAGCCCAATAGCCTATTAGTCGACTTATTTGAGTTTGAAACAATGAGGAGTGTTCATCCCCAGCTATTGAACAATCTATTTTGCGATAAGACTGCAGAAAATTCCACTAGTTCGCAAAATGGAGAAATTCAACATTCTGCAAAAACATCGAATTTATATGACGTACAGAGGTAACAAATTTTATGATATTAGTCTAATATAATTATTTGCAAAAATATACTACTATTTGCAAAAATAATTAAGACGCGTCAACAATCCATTGTAACATTTGTATGATGGCTCAATGTAGGTGCAATTTATTGCATCATAGGTCTGGTACGAATATTCAAGCAAATTTGGCTCACCGACAGAGATTAAAACTGAAAAATATTAACACCGCACGGTAAATTAATAAACGGATAGAGGAATGCTTCCCTAGTTTTTTTTTTTAGTATAACTGAAAAGAAATTAAATGTATTAATTTGTAATCTATATTTAAATCATGTAATTATATGTATTTTATTATTGTCTGTTTATATAGTATATTCAATGAATGTTGGTTTAGATAAAAATATATTATTTTCTATAATAATTGATGTAATTATGACATCTTATTGCCATGAAATATTACGTACAAAATATATATTTTTAGATTACATAGGAATTATTTTTATGTTGAATATAGAATAAATATTATACTGATTTTTTAATATACCCAGACGGCACACGGATGTCCATTGGACGTCCGTTATATGTCCATTTTTTTTACAAAAGATGTCCATTGGATGTCCGTTATATGTCCATTTTTTTACAAAAGACGTCCATAGGACGTACGTTTGTCACTTCGGATATAGGACGTCCGATGGACGTACATCGAACGTCCTACAAGAACGATGCCCAATAAGGACATCCTTGTTACGTCCAATTTATGTCCACGGACGTAAATCGGACATACGGACATAAATTGGACGTGAAACGTACATCCATTGGATGTCCGGTGCTGTCTGGGTATGTTGTCAATATTTATTCTCTCTTTGCATGTATATGCATTTTGTAAATGAATACTTGTTTAGTTGAACAATTGTTCCTGATATCGCATCACTACTATAATATTATTCCAAATAATGTTACTTTAATACAGTTTTATTTTTTTTTTTATAGCGGAGATAAAGACAAGTATAACAAAAAAAGTAATGCAGATTCTTGGAATCGCAATCAGAACGCCAAGTTTTCCCAAGAGAACAGACCAAAAACTTGGAGAGAAAAACAGATTGTAAACGGTGAATGGTCTCCAGAGAAACAATATGAAAACAGACGTGAGCGAACTGCTACTCATTTCCAACGTGATAATTCACAAAACGATCGTTTTGCCAAAGAGGTCAACACAATCAATAGATCTGGGAGATTGTATAACAAATATGATAAGGGCGAAATAGATACACCTAACAAAAGCAATAGAGAAGCCTTCCGAAGTGACAGAAATAGATATCCCACGAATGAACCGAAATTATACCGTAATAATCCTTCTGATAAAGTATTTAATGACAAGGATTCTGATACTTCGTCCAAAGGTAACGATAGCCGCGGGAAAGGCAGCTTTAATCGTAATAGTCGAGGAGAAAGATGTGACAACGGAATACCCAGCAGACTGCAAACGACAAAGTGGAACGACCGAAACAACGATAGGACTAGCTATAATAAAAATGGGAGATTTAACGGTAACTTAAACGTTATTCAATATATATGTGAAATATATTTGCTCAAAATATATTCTATAATTTCATGAATTTCGTTAAATATAGGTGACTACAATACGGGCGGTAATAATTTCAAAAACAAAGAAAATTATACAAACAATATCTCATATAATCAGGTAATGAAAAATTAATAATTATTAATATTATAATCACATATATTCCTGTATTATATATGCGTTTATTATCGTTTGCAGGAAGATACTTGCGAATTTTGGGATACAAAAGATGTTAATACAGAATCACAGAGCACAGTTATAGCTAATAAAGAATCACAACTTGTGCCGATGAATATTACTTTAGGCACTGTAAAGAATTGTGAAGTAGTATTTGTTAATAGTCCATCAGACTTTTTTGTTCAATTAAATCCTGAATGTTTGGAATTAGAGCCAATTATGAATAGTATTGCCGAAACTTACGAGAAAAATGAAGAAATGATGCAAGCATTTGAAATAAAATGTGACACATCCTGTATTGCTCAATATCAAGAAGATCTTAAATGGTACAGAGCGATGATTAAGTCTGTAGAGGGGAATAATGCGACTGTGAAGTTTATCGATTATGGTAATACTGAGTCGGTCGATTTTACAAGAATCAAAACCATTCGAGAAGAATTTTTGAAGCTACCAATACAGGCGGTGCAATGTAAATTGCTTGGATTAACAAATGCGGGCGACCAGGAAGCAATGTATGCAACTTTCATGCAAAAAATTGAAGAGAAATCATTGGCCGTAGAATTTATCAGTGAAGGAAACGGAATATACGAAGTACTGTTGCACGAAGTCATCGATGGTATATCGAGTAATAATTATATAAATGAAGAATTTTGTACAAGCGCAGATTTAACAAAGGCAAAAGAAACTGCGTTGAACAAAGTAATACCTAAAAAAGGACATATAGTTCCCGATTATACTCCTTTCAGTTCAAAGTGGCAGACTGCTTTATATGAGCCCGAGTCTAAACATAATGTAATTATTACGTGGTTCATAAATCCCAATAAGTTTTATTGCCAAACGTTGCGTCAAGAAGCAGAATTCAAAACGATGATGAATGAGATCCAAAAAACGTACGCTGGCAGAGAATCTATAAAACATAAGTTAGAGGTAATTATTACTTTCACTAGAAGTCTTTTTATTTTTTAACAATTCACATAGTGAAAAAATAAATATAATTATTATATGTAGATTGGTTCACCGGTCATCGCAATATTTTCCGAGGATGGTGCTCTTTATCGAGCGGAAGTTGTAAACAACAATGTGCAAAATGGACATGTAGTCCAGTACATAGATTTTGGAAATTGTGCAACCGTAAAACAGCATAATATTTATCCTGTAGAAAAGAAGTTCATGCAATTACCTAGATTAGCAGCTCAGTGTACGTTGAAAGACATTGTACCTAAGAACTTAAACTGGTCCGAAGTTAACAACGATGCACTTGATAACTGTTTCAATGGTGACAAATACGACTGCACCTTCCATAATTTGAACGCTGATCGATACACGATTTCATTGAACCTCAATGGACAAGACGTAGGTAATGCGTTGGTACAGAAAAATCTTGCGGCTTTTGCCGAAAAACTTCAGCCAGCAAAAACAATAACTTTAGCTGAAGCAGTTAATGGTAAGAATCATTTGATAGTTATATACTTATAATATACTGTTTTGCGTTATAATCAAAATTATATATTTTAGATATCTACATAATGAAAAAATATGATACTATAAAAATGATATTTTTTAGTTGTTCCAGAAACACCTAATATAGAAATAACGGCGCTCAATGAGGTAGAAAGGGTAGACATAAGTCTCTTGAGTGGCCAAACACTCAAAATGAAAGTTTCCAATGTAGAAAGCATAACTCGTTTTCATGTCCAACTTCCGTCAGCCTCGAAATGTGAACACCTCATCGACGAATACATGGCAGATAAGAACGCAGAGGTATTATCTAGCATAAGTGCATTATAGCTAGCTACAAGTCATACGCTGTCATATAAGATATGTTGTTAATAAGCATTACGGAGAGAATGGATAGAATTTTCTATTGTCTAATAGAGATGGACTAACAGCTCGTCTTTACAAGCTGTTAACTGTTCTAGCTAGTATTTATCGTCATTTAATAATTATAACAAATCTCAGACGTCCATAATCGTTTAATTAATCTTCTGATCCGTGCGAACAGATTTAGAATTATTTCTGTATAAAATTTTTTGGAAAATTTATTATTTGAAGTTGATACACTACGGTGGTGGAAAAATAACGACTTTATTTAAATTTTTATATAGAAACTTGATGAATTTGGATAGCATATAAATACTAACATATAAATCTGACTTGGACCATATAACAAAATTTATGATAATATGACTTCAAAAATAAATTGTGAATCGTATGCTTCCAAAAGTCTAACAATATTTAATTTTTATCCTATAAAATATCTTAAATCTCATTGCACGATATGTATGGTATTAACCGCTAAATAATTATAACATTGCCCTCATACATGTTCCATTGCTATTGTAATAATCAAATTTCCTGAAATAACTGTAACATAACATTTAAATATTTTATGCCTTGCCATTCTCATTCAACATCTGTACGATCTAAAAATCTAATTTGTTATATTTATTTTAAATATTTTTTTATTATAATTTGTAACAGTATTACACTTATTTATATTACACTTTTTTAGAATTTAAAGATGACTGTTTTGCGTTACATAGTTTTTATGTTATATAATATAGATTGACTTAGCTTATATATAAAAATATAAGTAGAAATAATATTTTAGAAGCATAATATTGAAATTAATAGTGAAATTGTATAAAATATTGCTAGAATAAAATGTAGAATGGCAAAGAGCGAAACGATATAAAACATCGCTAAATCAGCTTAGTGTACAGTTGATCGCATGAATTTAAACGAATTATACGGAGAAGTATATGATGTAATATCAGGTGATGCCGCGACTGTCAAGCCGCGAGATGTGTCTTGGCACGGGTTGTCTAGTCAATGCAAATGGAACATGGAGGCGAGCAGTAGTGATTAACTGTTCGCTCCTCGTCGGATCATTTGACATAAAGTTCATTGATACCGGGGCATACGATGAAATACTGGATAACGTGAGTTTAGTTAGATATTACGAAAACTTGTACAAGCTCAATTGACGAAGGCGCGTGTTGATACCATACATCGTGCGGTAACATGAGATTATAACACGTTAATCACAGACTTCTAATTTTTACATTTATTGATATTATTGATATTTCATTGATTATGATTGATATCGTTAAATTTAATATAAAAATACAATGATCCAGGCTCTGGCTCTACCTGGAGCACTTGCGATTATGCAGAAGCAAGCGCTAGAGTGCTCTCTGCAAGATGTGCAAGCATCTCCCGATGCAGATAGACAGTTGAAGGAATTGATTGAAGGAAAGGATGTGCTCGTTCACGTAACAGAAGTCAACGATAGCAGGTTCGTACATTCAACTCTATATCACCAAGTACTAGTGAGGCTTTTTTTTAGTTTGAGTATTAATTCCTCTTGTTCTTACAGACTCATGGTAAAGCTGTACGACCTGCATGGCAACGGAATAATGAATGCAAGTGATAAAGTTATCTCAACTGTGTGTCCAATGCCTATACTGAGTTCCACTCACAAAGTGTCCATGTCATGCGCTATGATACAGAACGATCATTCTGTCAATGTTTGGCTGCAACGATACTCCGACTATGAGATCGAGGCTAAATTGTTGGCAGATCTGCAACAATACTACTTCAATTCCGGACAAAGACTGAAGCCAGAAGTAAATCTGCTGTGCGCAGTCAAAAGTACAGACGGCCGTTGGTACAGAGGAAAGATCATCAGCCACACCGAAACTACGGCCTATGTCCATTACATCGACTATGGCAATACGGAGGAGATAGCGTTGGAATTTATCATGGTCTTGGAACCGCAGTTTTACGAACCCTACCAATTAGCGATAAACGCAACGTTATCCGTGGCTCTTGCGGGCATTGAAACTGAGCAAATAAACATAGTGCAGACTCACTTAATGAACAAGGAATTCACAGCTGTCTTCTACAACGTGCACAACAAGTGGATCGTCGATCTGATCGAAAACGGTGAAAAACTCAGCGATAAATTACGTTCGTTGAATCTGGTAAGGGAGCAAGACATAGCTCCGCAGTCATTTTCCCAGACGCAAGAATCGTCGACAACCCTCATGTTCGATACGTACGTGTCTCATACCGATTCCCCGAGTCAATTCTGGTTACAACAAGTAAACGAGAACGCAGTCTTGGGCGAACTTCAAGACAAACTTCAACTAGAGGTTCTCAATTTCCCGGCGGTGGACGATATACCAGAAGAAGGCACCTTATGCGTTGCTATTTATTCATTCGATGATCGCTGGTATCGCGCCGAGGTGTTAGATGCGGATGAGGACATCACAACGGTCCGATTCATAGACTATGGCAATACCGATGTCATCGACAAAGCCGGCCACATTAGACAGATGCCGGATACTTGGAAAAATATAAAGAGATACGCAGTCAAGTGTAAACTCGATGTCATTCCCATAGGTACGGAAGATTGGGACCAAACGACCTGCAACAGATTCGGGGAACTGGTAATGTCAGTTGATGTTCTTCAAGCTAAGATAGTAGCGGACACCGTGCCGAACCGTGTAGAGCTTTTTATAAACAACAAGAGCGTCAGCGAGACATTGGTCGAAGAGGGACTCGCTGTCATAGTTAGTTCTGAGCAAGCCGAACTTGTGGACGAGGAAATTGTTGACATCGAACTGGACCCACATTCCGCCTTCGTGTGCCACATCAATTCTCCAAGTGAATTCTGGGTACAAGAGGAAAAATCAGTTGCTGATCTAGAAGTGATGACTGATAGATTCATGGTGGCGGATATGTTCCCAAGAATTGACATCGTGAAGGAGGATTTACTGTGTGTTGCCAAGTATCCCGAGGATTCACAATGGTATAGAGCGCGTGTACTATCTCACGTCGACAAAGGCACGACTCAAGTCATATATATAGATTATGGAAATTCCTCCAAGTCTACGGAAATTCGCGCTCTTCCAGAAGATCTAGCAGATGTGCCGCCTTTGTCACGAAAATGCTGCCTAGAACTACCATCACACGTAAAGGAGTGGTCGGAGGAAGCTTGCAACAAATTCATAGGATTAGCAGCGGATGGTGCGACAATTTTCATCCTGGACGTGTTGAAAGAGCAAGAGACATCAATGGTGAAACTGACGCTGGACAACCAAAACGTGACCGATATTCTGGCGAGTTTGTGCGAGCAACATCTGCCAGTCATTGAGGAGAGACTGCCGCCGCTCGGCGAAGAGAACTCGCCGAACGTGGTGGTCAGTCATATTAACAGCCCAGACGAATTCTGGATCCAAGCAGAGAGCAGCATAAGCGAACTGGAGGTGATGTCGGATCGTTTACGAGACGCACAAAGTTTCGTTACGCTGAATACCTTTGACGTCGGTACGGTTTGCGCTGCTTTATATCCTGAAGATGAATATTGGTACAGAGCAAAAATACTCGCGCATCACGAAGAGGGCATGGAAGTTCTTTACATGGACTACGGTAATTCTGCAGTTACGAAGGAGCTAAGAGTACTGCCACAGGATATTGTTAATATTCCCACTCTGTCGAAACGATGTGCTCTGGAGAAACCGCACCACATAGCAGTATGGAGCAAGCAAGCTTGCGACAAGTTTAAAGAACTTGCCGCTGAAGGGGCTACAATGTTCCAGTTTGAAACTCTCGACGAGAATGACCCGATGCATGTACGATTGAATTTGAATGGGACGAATGTCGTCGAGTTTTTACAAATCGAATGCGAGGACATTACGCAAGTTGAAAAAGTAATTGATGAAGACGTCGAAGTGATTGAAGAAACTAAAGATACTACTTCCACTACAGAGAAACAACTTAAGGTTGTCGCTGATGAAACAGTTGTCCAGCAGGATCATCCGAATGAAGAGATTTCAGATTTTGGTAAGACAATTGAACAAAAACTAACTGAACTAACACTTGATTATATTATTCCTGATACTAACCTATCTTGTTTTAATCAAACAGAGCAGAAGTTAGAGAAATTGATTGACGAAGAAGTAATTAATAAATCATTTGGTGACTCCAATACAGGTAATGAATTTATCGAAGACCAACAAGGATACATAATGTATTCTAACGAAATTGGAAAACTCGACGAAGAATCTGAAGTTGTGGCACCTAAGCATATTACAGAAGTGAGCGAAGTATCAGAAGACCTCGGTACTACAAACGCAACATGTCTTATGCCCGTTGTAACGGAACTTAGCGTCGATGATATCATTGGGAATATGGTAAGGGATATTACTGAGGAATCGGATTCGCAAGAAATTAATGATATAAGCTTGCAAATCATCAACGAACCACAGTCTGATGTTCAAGATGAGGTTCATCGGGTTCAAGGTGAAGTTCATCAAATTCGAGATGAGGTTCATCAGATTCAAGATGATGAAATTCATGAACAACAAAAGCATGTTATTCAAATACAAGATATAAATATAAGTGAACCGTCAGATTTATCAAATGCCAATAAAAAACAGTTGCAGAATGCCACTGAAGATGATGCTAACGAAGAAGAAAAATTACATTCTCAAGTACAATCTGATACATTATTTGTAGAGCAGACAACTATAAATGAAAGGATATCGATTGATACAACGGGAGATGTCACCGAGGATGCAGATTCGAAAGAAATTTTATCGATAACGAACGGATCACAGGATATCGTGCAACTTGACGCTAATCAAATCAAGGAAGAAAAAGAACAGTCTGAGACAAAGCCTAATATAAACGAGCCTTTAGAACAGCAAAACTTGAATACAATATTTGACGATGTTCGTAACAACGTCCGGTGTTTATCGAAGGAACATATAAATCTCACTAAGGAACTTCAAGAACAAAGTTCGACTGAGAATGAGACTGTATACAAAAACACAACCAAGGATGACAATTTACAAATTATATTAAAGAGCGCAAGTACAGATCTGGATGCTTCCTCAAAATCCACAGGCATGGCAGCAATGATGCCACTGCCGTCCGTAACCAAGACTGATCTGATCGAGCAACGTAGGTCTTTAGGTTCGAGGAGACGATCCGAAGATAAGATAGTACCTGGCTGCATCTCCAGAGGCGAATCACCGGATGCGGAAGCGGCAACGTATTCTCTCACACCAAAGACGTCAGAAAAGCTAACAACTAGTGTTGCAAACATCTTGCAACCGGTGGCCGACTCCGTACAGGAGGAGGACAGTGAAATACTTACCGTTCCCGTAGAAAATAACATTCCTTAATACGCGGTATAACTTCATTATATAAATATATATATATATAGTATACATATTGCAAATTTACGTAAATATAACGTAAATCTGCGATATACGAAAGTGTGTTTCTCCGATAAGTAATAAATAAATAAATAAGTAAATAAATAAATAAGTAAACATTACACATTCTTCAACAAGTTATCTTCATTTCATATTTCTTTATGTTTGCATAGAGATGTATTTATACGCGAGAGTATAATGATAATACTGTTATTTTGTTTTTCTTTCATATTCCTTTTCTTTTACAAGTCGCGTTTCTTATGTTGCTACACCAATGCACTCTGATGCCATCAGATATTGAACCAAAGATTAACTCACTTGGCTGATAAATCGTTGTTTACGTTGTTCTTACGTTACAACATAATACTCGTTAATGATATCATGGGACCGTATTCCTATAACTCTTAATCTTAAGTTGCTATTTAACAATAAATATTTAAATTAATTTTGCATTGCTATTTTCTAAGTTAAACTTTCAAGTAAACATCATATTTGAAAAACTTTGCAATTACACGTCGGTGATAATACAACAGATTATTCGTTATCTTTCATTTTGACTGAATAAACTTTAAACATAGAAAAACAAAATTTTATTTACATGACATATTAATAATGATTAACGTAATGGCGACAGTTTTTAATATTAATTCTTAACGAATAAGATAGTACAGTTACTAATTTCTTTCTAATCATACGCGACTATTAAAGTAAATAGCTAAAAAACTGTTACAGTTGTATGTAATGTTCATCGTGGAATTTCAGTAAAAACTTGATAAAAAAATTACGTTAAAACACAGATGATTATAGACAATTCAATTCGGTCACGCATTGTAAAAAAATAATTGACATCGACAGTGATATAAATTTTAACCAAAAGTAGTGTTTTTACATAATTTTGTCATAATTATCATAATTATTACACTTTTGCATAATTAATTATCATTATTGCATAATTTCCACATGTACATTTGAATTATCTATCAGATACATACAACAGTGAATCCATTTTTATATTCTAAGCCATATAATATGATATTCATTTAATTCTTCCTGCAATATATCAATTATATATTAACAGCATTATGATTATAATGAATAACAGGAACTGTATAAATATTTGTATGCCGCTAAAATATATTTTCTAATAAACATTTCCAAAAATCTATTGTCTATCGGATTATATATGACTACAGTCGTATATAATCATATTTTCTGATCACAATCGTATTTATAATTATATAAATGCATAAATATTTTTTCAACAATTTTACCTTTACTTGTGTGATTCACAATCGTGATTTTAAGATTATTTATATTAATGTATTTGTAATTTTAATTTTTAGCTTTCATTACTATTAGTGTATATTTAATTATAATAATCTTTTTATATTATTTAATATAAGTACAATGGATTTTTTCTGATCAACTTTCATTATTTTGTCAACTCTTGATCGTCCTGTGCAACTTTTAACTCCGAAGTAGTATTCTTTTGAAATTTGGTACCTTTAATGTGATGTTTGTGTCCTCTTCCTATGTTAACAATGTAAGGTAAGAAATCTGCAGTTATAATATTAACGAGTGTATATCTTAAATAAATATATATCATATAATGTATAAAATATATATCAAATAAAAACGCCGATATCATATTTTCACTTGAAATGTGATATCAGTGTTAAAACAAATTTTCTAAGTAATTGTGAATTTAAATTTAGGTTTTGACGTTATTGGCACAAATACTTTTACAAAAATAATCTTTTAGCGAATTTTACATATTCTTTTGGTATTTTGAACGTAAGATCTTACTTTTTTGTCTTGCGATCTTTAAATTTCTCTTTATGCTCTCATTGTAATCATTTTGTCTTTCCTTAGCCATGGTTTCGCGTGCTAGTGCAATTTCGTCCTCCAGGTGCCATCGCAAAGGACCTCGACATCTCTTGCAACGTCCTAGATAAGCTATACCTTTCACTTCTAAAATTCTACGAAGTTGAACAGAATATGGTGGCCGACCGATGTCGGCAATTCGAAATTTTACACCGGGACCGCTGCCATCCAGAACTACATTTGTTAGAGACGACACAAAGGGAGGGTTTCTCATATCATAATATTTATCGGGATCCTGATCTTTTTCTTCACAACAGAATCCGTACGGTTTTTGTACGAGTTGTAAACGCGACAGTTTTACAAGGGATCGCTTTGTTATAACTTTTTTCATGTCGTCAAGTTTTTTTAATATTGTATCGCAAATTTAACGAATATCTTGTCGAGGAATCATTTCTATCGATTGATCGTTAGGATGAGAAATAAATAGTATTTCAAGAAATATTTTACATGATACTTCATAATAATACAAAGTATTAAAATTTATTTTTTCATTGTAAATTTTATATACGTAAATGAAATGTCATATGATAGTCGATTGAAAATATAATATGATAATCGATTATTTAATGAAACAGATTGAACATCGATTCGTTAATCAATTTTTTAGTCCGTCTTGAAAGATAGGCGTAGTTGTAAAGGGTGTCTCAAAATGATCTGACATTTTAAATTACGCGCCATTTTTTGTGGCGAACATAGGGTGCGTTCCGTTTCACGCATATGCGCACATTTATCCATAGCTTATATCACGTAACTATAAAAAATGCGCGCATATATGTGAAACGGAACGCACCCAAGGTTATGTTGTTACCAGATGTCCAAACTTATGATACTACGTTTTACATCTGACAATTTCAACATAACCTTCTGGTGGGGCCATCTTTTGTCAAACGGCGGAAACTTATTTGTACTTTAATATTTTTATAATTAGAAGGTAACATAATAGGTTTCCTCGTCATCCATGAAATATTATTGCCAACGCGTCTTTTTATTTAATTAGTCCGGATTAAATCACGCAGGGGAAATCCTCATGGATACCCCCGACCCAATCCGGATTAACCTTGCCGTGTAAACGTAGTCACTAAAGCCAGCAGCACACGGTGCTTGTTTTCGTGCTGATTGCTTGCTGGATGAAAATATTACGTTCTGATTGGTGCATTTCCATCCATCTTCGGAAATGCACCAATCAGAACGCAGTATTTTCATCCAGCAAGCAATCCAGCACGAAAACAAGCACCGTGTGCCGCTGGCTTTATATAGAAGTCTGTGGTTACAAGCATGTTCTGAATACGGGCCAATGAGTATGTAAACAGATAAAGCTGAATTTATATGCAAATATAAGAAAAAGAAATGAAATACATCAAATAAGAGCAAGATATATATTAATTATATATGCCATTTTATAATTTAGCACTGGACTCGTTTCTTTTATATCGCATACTATGAATGATATATAACATTTTGTCATAGACTATCCAGCGCAGTTTCAATCATTGGCTGCGTTCAGAAAACACAACGGTTGAGTACTTCGTCCACGTTATTGGTCTGAATGCAAGGGTCTAACAGCAAAGACCAATAGCCACTAATCGCTCAGTGAACGCTTTTGTTCTCTGAACGCAGCCATTATGCGCATGCGTAGAAGTTTAGAAATAGATAGTTGCCCCCCTGAACTGCATCCTTTCTTTCAGAAAACAAAGTGCTGAGTGAGAGGTTAGTGATTGCTGGTCTTTACAGTCAGATCCTTATATTTAAACCAGTAATATTGACAAATTACTCTCTACCATTGTACAACCATTGTGTTTTCCGAGTACAGCCGTTGTGTCTTTTCTCAAGATTTATTATTGGTTACATTAAGTAGAAAAAGCCATTTACTAGGCGCTTAGTGATTATTATCTATGATTGGAGTATTCTTTCAGATCTTTAACGGATCCAGGAGAATAAACCAATCAGGAACAATAACTAAACAGCTTTTTCTGCTGAACGCGGCTATTACTTGTGCCTATTGTTTCGTCGTTAAATTTTACGAGCTATTCTCAAGCATATCGTAAATATATTTACGTAAATTGAGTATTAGTTTGACAAAACTTGGTTTATTAGACTAATAAAACTTAAGTCTTTAGTAAAATATATGCACATGTGACCAGTGTTGAAGTAATTCACTCGAACAAATTATGAATTCATCCACTTTATCGTCGAGCACTCTAGGACACTCAACAGGACAGAGGACACCGGAATCGCAAGACTCAGAATTAACCTCAAGTGCAAATCAAACTTCTAAGATTTTGAATCATATGAAATGCGAATGGCAGGATCAAAAGCAACGTAAAAGATTGGTCAAGGAGTTACATGCCAAACGTGTACAATCATTACGGAAGGAACTGGAATATCTTAAGGCAACAGAGTGGAAGTATCAGCCTATAGACCGGTATGCCATTGTCTTTATTCCATTTGTTTAAATTTATTTTCCTTTGCTTAATATTTTTTTCTTATAACTTTCTCATTTAGTATAAACCATTATATTTAGGGCTGGTTATTCCAACTTCTTGGTAAGTTAACTGATAGTTAAATTATATGTTTGTCTTCATGTTTTCTTCATCTTAGACAAAAACAGATATGATTTAACTATCAGTTAACTTACCACGAAGTTGGAACAATTGGCCCTTATATCTTGTCCTCTATTCATAGATACTTAGATAGGAGCCAAAGAAACTAAATATGTTGACTTTAATGTTCAGTCTGGTTCAATATACCAGAAAATATATGAAAAAATATTTGAATGAAGTAGAAGATATAGACACAGTTATATCTCATATAGAACACATAAGGAAAGAAGAAGAAAGAGACATTGTAAAAAAAACATTAAACAAAGAGGGATGTTATTACAAAAATGGAATTATTACCTGTGTTACTGCAGACTATGTCTTAATAGATAATAAACATATATATGAGAAAAATGATGAACTAAGCAGTAATCTGGAAATAGGTGATAATGTTTACTACTCAGCATTACTACGTGACCCAAAGGAAAAGGTAAAAGTAATAAAAATTATTCATAAAAATGAAATAAAAGATAAAGAACCCTTAGAAAGAAAGGAGATCCGCAACTCTATCTTACAAAAAAGCATGATTGCTAAAGTGAAAGAACGTGAAGGCCGTTTTGTTATGGTTGAACCAGATATTAGAATCAACTTGAATAAAGTACAATCTGAATTCATTCCCCTCATTGGTGATTGGATAATACTAGAATCTCTGACTGAAGTAAGCGATTCTCAAGATGAATCTGATAATATTTTGGAAGTGGATAAAATTAAACCGCTACGATCCAAGTTGAATGTAGGTGTGATAACCAAGTATGATTCGCTGAATCAAGTAGGAGTAATCGATAAGAGTATAATATTTCATAAGAGCGCATGTGAACCAGGTTATATTCCTTGTGTTAATGACAAAGTAGTGAGTGATAGCATAGAAAGTGATCAAGGAATTCACAAATGGAGATCATTGACTGTAGTGCCATTAAACCTGGTAAGAATTTTCTTGATAATGATTATGATCAAATTTTTCTTAATTTTGCAATAATAAAAATTTATCTCATACTTTACATTTGTTTTTAGGAAATGAACAAAATTTCTCATTGCTCAGTTATGAGCAATTTTTATTCTGAACTATCGAGCATAAATGATTTATTAAAGAATAAAAATGATATTATTATAGATGATGAATTGAAATTCAATTTAAACATAGAAGAGGAGGATAATTTAACGGTTACAATATGTAATACTGGTAATTGTGCTCAAGTGTTGCAAAATGGTACTTTTATGTCACAAGAAACTTCATCTCAGTTATCAGTAATATCACCAACAAATACAGATGTTAATATGGTAATAAATCCTTCTAAAAGCATTTCGTATACATTCAAGTGTAAAGCGAGATTCATCGGTAAATCCGAGGAGCTGTTTATCTTTAACTTCAAAGACTTTAAGATTGGTAGATTATTTCATATAACTACCAATGCAATAAATGTTTCACAAAATGGACCTTCTACGTCCGTTCCACGAAAGAACAATCAGAAAATCAATCTTGACAATTTGAATAAAGAGGACGATTTGACATACATTCCCGGAGTAAAACCATATAAAACTACTTTCTTTAGAATGCGTAATGGAGTGTTCAATGTACCGCAATATATTTGGAATGTGATATTGAACAATATGGTGATATCACAAGCAGAATGCAAAGCCAATTTAGAGCGTGCAGTTCCATCTCTCTTGAAACAACTAACTTTTAATATTTATAAAGAACGTTTCCATGCTTTATTGTATCTGGAAGAAGTAGCTCAGATACTTAATATACAACAATATAACATGCAAAACGTAAAGTTGCAAAGATACCGAGATTATTTTACACTACATGTTCCGGGGTTAGTAGAAAAACGCCCTTCCCTGCTAGTCGGTGATAGAGCTGTAGCAACTGTTATACCTCACAGACTAACTAAACAAGGTTATGAATTAGATGTAAAAAGTTAAGTATATTTTAATATTAATTTACCTATTCATCACATCTGTGAACAGTAACTAATGGATTGCTAGCAATTGAAAGCGATTCGAAGCAGTTTTTACATATTTTTAACTTGAGAGAAGTTGGTTATCTTAAAATACTAATAATCCTTATTTTTATTTTGTAATAGATGCGTTAAAATACGAGGGCTATATTCATAAAATGAAGAGCAGCGAGATCTTCCTCAAATTTAATAAAAGTTTATCCGATGATGTGATTTTCGCTAATATTACGTTCAAATGCTCTAATAGCACCCTTCAACGTTGTCATAATGCTGTTAATCTAGCTCTCAATCGTCTCGGGCCTGAGATTCTGTTTCCTACTAAAGTAATAGAAAAAGAACCTCTGTTTCACTTGGAAGAGTACGACATCGAAGAGAAACCTATTAATACTAAGCAGATCTGTAACGAAGCAAATGAATCCATGTCATCTACTGATTCCTCTAACAGCATCGCTTCTGGTAGTGATACATCCTTAGAAAGTACAACCAGAACATCTCCAAGAATATCGGTAGTAGAAAGACTTTTCAAAGTTAAACCTGTCGAATCGCCACCTAAAAAGACGGAGACTTCAAGTACGAAAATAGAATCAAATTTACATCTCCAAACAAATACAGCAAAATGTGATAACAATAATAAAATTGATGGCGTCAGTAACACAGCTTCAGAGAAAGCAAATGAACAAATTAATCAGACCAATGACGAATTAAAGCCTTATATCGATCAAATAAAGAAGCGCAAATTAAATTGGTTTAATAAAGGTTTGAACTATTATCAAAAAGAAGCTGTGTGGAACATAATGAAGGGAGTAGCACGTCCGTTACCCTATGTGATATTTGGTCCACCTGGGACGGGAAAGACAGTAACACTTTGCGAGACGATTCTACAAATTTTCACCGCGATACCCGACAGCAGGCTTTTAGTGGCAACGCCATCGAATAGCTCGGCAAATTTAATAACGGAACGTTTGTTGGACAGTAATATATTAAATCCTGGTGATCTGGTACGTTTTCTTCTTTTGTAAACGTTAATCCTTCATAAACCAAGTCTTTCCATCAATATCGATTTAAATTTTAACCAGAAAAATACAGATTATGATCAATTAAGTTAGCCCGCATTTACTTATAATATATGCATGTTATAGGTCCGATTAATAGCTCATCATTGCCTGTACGATGATTCTATACCCGAGAAATTGATGCCTTTCTGTGCCGCAGCGGAGTTGGGAGACGAAAAAATATATCAAATGCTTCGAACACATAAAATAGACCTCGTACAATCTTCTGACGATGAAGAAAGTTTTGATGATGAAAGAAAAAAGAGGTTTAAATGTAATTTTCCCATGTCCACACTTGGCCGTCATCGAATCACCATCGGTACTTGCAGCACGTTGGGAATATTGCACAACATGGGTTTCCCCCACGGTCATTTCTCTCATGTTCTGGTGGACGAGGCGGGACAAGCAACTGAGCCGGAGATTATGATACCGTTGAGCTTTATTCATGCCGATGAGGGCCAAGTAATTCTCGTGGGCGACCCGATGCAACTTGGACCCGTTGTACAGAGCAATTTAGCTACATATTACGGATTAAGCGAGTCGTTTCTGTCAAGATTGTTACATCAGTTCCCATATCAGAGAGACGAGCAAGGATTCGAGAATTATTACGACCCGAGACTCATCACAAAGCTTATTATAAATTACCGCAGTTTACCGGAAATATTGGAGTTATCAAATTGGCTGTTTTACGACTCGGAATTGCTGCCACAAGTACATACAATCATTATTAATATCATCCTGAATTCAGTCTTTCATAAATTAACTACAATTTACCTCTTATGTCGCACTTAGATATCACCTAAGAAGAGCAAGGAAGCTAAGGTCTTGAAAAGGCTAAAAGAAATATTACCCAGCAGAAATGGATTACCGCCAGCTGTTATTTTCCACGGAATTAGTGGCGAAAATCGCAGAGATATCGAGAGCCCGAGTTGGTACAATCCCGAAGAAGCGACACAAGTGTACATTTATTTAATGAAATTGTACAAATGTGGACTTGAACCAGATGACATAGGAGTTATAACTCCTTATCTAAAGCAGGTATAGGCATTTAACTAATATCCTGTTATTCATTATCTTACATGCATTATGTATTGTATGTTTGTCATATATTTAGTATTGCGTATTCTTCCCGTTCTTTATAACAATCATTTATCTTGAATTCAGGTAATGCAAATCAGAGACCTACTTAATGAAATAAACATGGAATTACCGAAAATTAGTAGTGTGGAAGGGTTTCAAGGGCAAGAGAGAAAAGTGATTATTCTCTCAACTGTCAGATCGTGTAACAAATTAATCGATCTAGATGTCAAGCATGCTCTAGGATTTGTTGCTTCGCCGAAAAGACTTAATGTTGCGATCACTCGCGCACGTGCTCTACTAATCATTGTCGGGAATCCCAAATTACTCTACATGGATCCACATTGGAGGAGTGTTTTGATGTACTGCGTAAAGCATGGCGGATATACAGGATGTAATTTTCAGCCTAATTTTTACGCCGATCTTCTTAGCTATAAGTAGAATAAGAAATTTATAATTCCAATTTGAAACGGCAAATTATAATTTGTTAAATGGAATAGTTAAAATTCCTTAAAATTTTTAGGTATATATACATGTGCTATATTATTTCTTTCACAATAATTTCGTATGTCAAGACAAAATATCTTGAAAAACCTTTATGATTCTTAATCTCGAAGTAAAAGTATGATTATGATAAATAAATGCAATCTTGTCTTTTATAAAATATTACGATTTGCTTAGTATAATGTCGATTATTAGTTACAAGATGATGAATTTTAATCTTATTTTTATACGTGTACATATATTTCGATATTAGGTTTAACCAGTAAATAAAAATACATATGTTTTTCACGATGACGCTGATCTTCATTATTTTTTGTATTTGGAAGGTACATTGTATCAAGTCTGTTCACTGCAAATACTCATTGGTGGAATATTTTTTTTTGCGCATTATTCTTCCACATCGTATCAAGATGTCATAAGTCCAAATTCCACGAATGTTGATACTGAAACGAAAATTAATCATTACGTTTACATATAAAAGACAAATTTCAGAATATCTCGCTGTTCTAATCACTTTTCACAATGGCAAAGTGAGAAAAGCAAAAAGTTAAAATACTTTAGAACAATTGATAAAATCAACGAGATGATCTTTCAGTACCTTGCATTTACGAAGATGATAAACGAATATGCCTTGAAATGATATATTCAAAACTATACATTATAAAAAATTATTGTTAATATCTGTATAAGTAATTCTTCAGTTCCATTTTTATTGTCTCATGTTTCTCGCAACATGTTATATATCAAATAAATCATGTGACACCGTGCGCACAATATGATCGTGAATGATACTGACCTCTGTTAGTTCCACACTATACTTACTGAATCTTGATTCTTCGCCTTTAACTTTCTCTCGATTAGATTCTCTAGTGCCTCGCTTCGAACGCTCAAAGTCTCAATTTTCTCCACCAATTGCTGATACGGCGACGCCGGCTGTCCTCCCATTACCACATGTCCTAACTTGCTGTCAATCTTGGCGTCCAAGCGTGCATTACGAATCAAATTCACAATCCAACATTCCGCTACGTCCGCCTTCATATTCAATTTCTCCGCGAGCATCCTACAATATAAAAGTAATATGTAACCAACTGATAAATAATTAGTATGTTGCATTTCTATAAGAGATTACATACCCAATACTAATACACTGATGAATTCTACAGAATGTCTCGAAAATCATTAATCGAGCATTCTCTACAAACTCATTCAAAAGAGCAATCAGGAAAAAGTCATTGAAGACAACAGTTTGACATTCTTGTAGTTTTTGTCGAGCACCATCAAAGTCAAAATTAACATACAAGTGTTCAAGAAATTCTGTGATAGGATCCCGGTAAGTGTAAGATTCCTATATGTAAACACAAAAATCTTGTAAAAAATTTGTTTTTAGTTTAGGATTATTATTTATCATTAAAAGGGATTTTAGTTAACCTAGATTATATATATATAAATTTCAATATCTAACCTAACCTGTTGTATTACTTTCACAAGATCCTTCAAAATTGACCGTCTAGAACGATTGACAATGACAGCAGCAGCCAAGTAGCGAAGTATATGTGGACACATTGTCTGAATAGCGTTTAAATAACTGTAACATGTTATTTGCATTATAACTCTTTTATAAGCTACAAATTTTGTAATATTGAGATAAGTTATTGTTCGTAGAACATTATACATACTGTGGTCGATAGAGGAACATCTCAATAATGAGATCTCTCCCTTTCACATGATTGAAAAATACAAATAAGCTCCAATGAATGAGCCACGTACGTTGCTGCAATACTTGAAGTGAATTGCCAATAACATTACTGTCTATATACTCTCGTAGCTTGTTTACATCCTCCAGAGCTGTTTCCCAATTTTGCACAAGAATTTCTGATGCTAATTTTCCCCACAAGACATTTAAATAGTTCTAGAAATCATATTTGTCACATACATAAAATATATTATATAATTCCAGAACTTAAATAATTTGAATTAAAAAATTGATTGAATACCTTATCAGTAGGTGGCATAATCAGCATATAGAAGTACAAGTATGACGTTGAAACTGAATAATTACCACATTCATAGCGATATTTTGCTAATTTTACAAAGCTATCCATCATCTCTACCCTAAACTGTAACATACAATAAACAAAAGTTATTAGTTTTTATCAGATAGTTCATTGTAGTATCATATTATTAATTATTGTTTAAGATATTATGTATATATATATATATATATAGTGGTTTACAGAAAAATCTCAATAATGAGATCTTTTTTCTTCAAATATTTTATTACAATATACTATATTATAATACTTTATTACAATATACTATATTCTACTTACCTCTGATTCCTGAGTGAGATAATTGTTAAGCGTTTTAGAGTCACGCATATTCTCCATCTTTTTCATAACTTCCTCATTATTCATAAGAGCTACAACGATTGAAACATTGTTCTGGAGAGAACTAAGCTCTTGAAGTACATCAGCACGTCTGGCCTTTAATTCCTAAAATAAACATATTATTTATCATTACCTTACTGATTATATTCATTTACTCAGTACATAACATATGTATATGAAATATATATAAAGAATAAGAGACTAATGATAGTTCTTATATGAACAAATGTCAGTACATACACATAACTTATGGAATCATTAACAAACCTCGGGTACTTCCAAATTGGGGTAAAGTTGCTTCCTAATGTCAATCGTATAGTCAATCATGTTGGTCTTACTAAGAATATCGAGTTTAGCTTGCAACAACTCATCCTCGTCATAAATCTGTAACATATCACATGTAACATAACCAATAAAATATACCGATCGCACTTCACTTTTACAACATACTTGTTTAGCTGATAAAAATTCCAGCAAAGGAAACACAAGGTGACGATCAAGATATTGTCCTATGCGGGACGTTAAATCAAATTTCGCCATCACGTTTTCGTTTTATCGTTTAGTCGTCTCGTAGTCAGCGATTTAACCACGTTTACGGACGCAAATGAAAAGATTTTTTTTAAGGCGGATTCATATCTTTGCAGAAAATCAGAAAGCAGAAATGCTGAATTCATGCTGGATTCACACTGCATCCGACGTACGTCGTACGACGCTCCGCAACCAATCAAAAAGCAGGGTTTTACTTCGTATCATCGGATCGCTTGGCCGTCCGTCATCGTCCGATGTCGGACGGGATGTTGGTCATGATTCAACATTTGTCGTACGATAACGCATGGTATGAAGGGTAATCTGGACAAAATTGGGAAAAGATGGTATACCTTACTTATCTTAATATATTATAAAGTTTATGTCATTAGAGTTGTCGATAGACAGAATAGAGTTTTGTTACTAAAGCCAGTGGCACACTGTGCTTGTTTTCGTGCTGGATTGCTTGCTGGATGAAAATACTGCGTTCTGATTGGTTCATTTCCATCCATCTTCGGAAATGTACCAATCACAACGCAATATTTTCATCCAGCAAGCAATCCAGCACGAAAACAAGCACCGTGTGCCGCTGGCTTTATACATATCTTGTTGCCCGTACATAACTACGCTTATGCGTATTTCTTGCTGTCATGAGTCTGTGCCATTGGCTGTCACTAGACGATTGCGCATTCGACCTGCGCAGACAAGGAAAGAAAACTTCCCCAATATCTTGCCTCTCTCACCGTTCTGCCAAACCCGCTATGCTCAGTCTATTATATATGTCTATGGAATAAATAAATATCAATTCTAACTTTTTAGGTTATGCGCATATTACTATTAGAGGAACTGTAGTCACCATTAACCACTTACGCCACCTACAGACTTTTAAATCGTATTAGTTAACGTATGCAGTATGAACAGCATTTCGCACGGCTTCGTACCGTTAGATAACGGACGACGCACGTCGGATGCAGTGTGAATCCAGCAAAAGGCAGTATCCAGTCAGAAGTCACGCTGATAATCTGTCTCTCTTTGGCGAGAGAGACAGACTAACAGCATCTGCAGAGGCAGGAGGACAGGGAAAAACTCTCGCCAAAATGTCAATCCGCCCTGAATGTTGGCTGCGTTGTTCTGTATACACATGTGTCCCCGTGGTAAGATGAGAACTGTGCCAAAATTGACAAACCAAAGATTGACGCGTTTCATGAATATAAAGGCTATGTTCCAATATTCGCTAACAGCACTGAAAATCTATAATATACTTGATACAAACTATGACTACGTTTATGTACACCTCCATCCCTGGGGGATTCTATTGATAGTTTCAAGAGGAACATTCACGATAAGGCACTGGGATTTTTTGAAAATGAATTTTTGCATAAAGGCGTTAAGTACAGAACCGAAGTCTCTCAACTAGCTACCAAACCATGGTTCTCTACCTTGAATCATGTTAAAAGAAGAACCATCATCTTGATGGCAAGACTAAGATCCATATAAGTACTACGGAGCATTTAGCTAAGAAACTCAATATGGAGGATACTGCCTATTTATGTGGATGGTATAATCGAGATGTGGATCACATTCTCTTTAGATGCCCTTTATTTGCGGCAAAATCGGACCAACTGTTACTAAAACTTTATCATAAGTGTAGGGACTCGGATAGTTGGATTCATAAAACGGGGGGATTTCTAAAAAACACTGGACACGTTCATAAACTAAAGAACAGTATATTTATTCCAAGAACACCACTTGCCGTCCTCCGGGAGACTGACTCGCCCGCGCGCGCTCTCTGCGCATCCCGAACAAAAGACGAACGACTCGCGCGTCTGTCGTCAGCCACGCCGCCGTCTGGCCCGAGACGTCCTGCAACGGCGGAAACTCCGAGAATCGGAAAATCCTTATATAAGGGAGAGATTATGAACAGCAATGAAATTGGCTGCATTCAGCAGAAATTGGCAGCACTCAACAGTTGGACAACATTACTAGATTTTCCACTGAATCTCGCTCCTGATTGGTAAATACTTCTAGGTCTATAAAGAATCTAAAAGAATGCTCCAATCACAGACAATAATCACTAAGCGCTCTCTGATCACTTTGTTCTACTGAACGCGGCCATTGTAAACTCAGCTTTCAACAACAAATTTATCTCCAGCTTGCGGAAATCGCAAAATTCCTAAAGGAAACCAACCAATCATTGTGATCAACCTATACAATATTTTGTCTATGACTACGTTTACACGGCTTCTAACTTCGGCTTAGTAACTACCGTAGTTAGTGCAATCTTGAATCCGATTAGAGTTTTTTTAGATCTAAAAGAATATTTTTAGATCTAAAAGAATATACCAATCGAGTCAAAGAATTCACTAATTACGGTTGTTACTAATCCGAATTAACCTTGCCCTGTAAACGTAGTCATTGATATATACCTTTAGATTTAAAAATATACACCAATCAGATGCAAGAGCTCACTTAGCGCTCAATGAGCGGTTGTAGTACTGAATGCACCCAATGGCGTTGAAGCAGTACCCAATTTGCCCAGAGCCATCTATTGAATTGAATTGAATTGAATTGTATACACATGTGACTGTATCACTGTTTTATATAGTCAAAGATTTTATCGAATTAGATTGTTCACTGACTACGTTTACACCGTATAGTTAGGCTGCAGCCTATACCCCAAATTTGACCTTAAAGGCCAAAGCACAGACTTCTGCATAACGCATAATATACAATACATAAGAGAATCAACCAATCAGAGTTCTTCATTTCCCTCCTCAGGACAGAAATGAAGAACTTTGATTGGTTGATTTTCTTATGCGTTGTGTATTATGCGTTATGTAGAAGTTTGTGCTCTAGCCCTTAAGTCGAATTAGGGTATAGGCCGCGGTCTAAGTATACGGTGTGAACGTAGTCACTGTTGTTCACAACATTTTATCCACGTTAAGAACTTGTGGTTGTATTTGAGGTTAAAATTTGTGAACTTTTTTATTTATATCTTTTATCTCATCTTGACAGGTAAGTAAATAAATGCTTTAAATTTATAAAATATTACACATTTTTATATTAAAATATAAGCTATATTTTAATATAAAAATGTCTCTGATATTTCATAAATTTAAGACATTAAGATATAAGTTATATTTTAATTTTGTTTTATTATTATATTGCTTATCAATATGTATTTATATATCGTTACTTGAACTTCTCATCAGCATATCAAAAAAATATGTTACTGTTTGCATATAATTATATATACATATTATGACTTTTGCATTATAAACTTAAATATTTTTATCAAGCAAATTTCCAAAAATTTATTATATTAAGAGGTTTTTACTAAGTAATATCTAATATATTTTAATATATCGTCTGTATCTCTAATATATTTTTCATCTTATGAATTGTTATTATTCTTTATTTTATTCTAACATTTTACTACCTGTATCTCTAATATATTATAACTTAAAAATATATTTTTTCTTTATAGATAACCAACATCCATCATGGCTGCAACAATGCCTATAAATCCCAAACCATTTTTAAATGGTTTGACTGGTAAACCAGTTATAGTAAAGTTAAAGTGGGGTCATGAATACAAGGGTTATCTAGTTTCAGTAGATGGATATATGAATTTGCAACTTGCAAATACTGAAGAGCATATAGAAGGTACTTGTACTGGAAATGTTGGTGAAGTACTAATCAGATGTAACAATGTTATGTACATAAGAGGAGTGGAAGAAGAAGATGAAGAAGGCGAAATGAAAGACTAGATTTAATCAAGATTATTAATTTTATACTAATAAATAATTTAATTGAATAAATATGATATAATACATTAATAAATAAGATATTTCTCAATATGACTTTATTCTCAAATATGACTTTATTTATGTTTAATTCTTTAAGATTAGCATGGTTTTGGAACATTAGTCACTATAGATTTTGGTCGTGTTCTAAATAAAAGTTTCTTCTTTACAATTGCCTTTACTACATATTCAGTCTTTGTTTCAATTTCCTGTCCCATTATCTCATCTGTGTTTTTTTTATGTTTCTCTAATACAACTAGAGGTTTCTCAAGCATCACCTGTTTTCCATGTAGTACATGAATTCCAATAATTAAAATAGGTATTCCAGTTTTTGTAAAATGTAGGTCTCCGATCAATTGATTGTTAGGATTTTCAACTTTCTCGAAATTTAAATCACCTTGAAGGTCTATAATTGCCCAATCTTCAATAACTCCATCTCTGAAAAAATTTAAAGAAATGATTTTATTTATATGAAAGATGCTAATTTTTCTCTGGTTTAAGCACAAAAAAGGATATATATATATAAAAGGGAGATATATATATATATGTATGTATGTGTATGTATGTATATATAAATGCAATAGAACACGGGATGCATATAGTTCATCTAAAGACAATGGGTCTGTTTTTTATCGCTGAACTAGTGTATACTCAGGGAACATAAAAAGAAATAAATATACATCTAAGAGTTAGTGAAAAAGAGAGAAGAAGAGAATAAGTGCAAGTTAGTGCAGCCAGTTCAGCAATAGAAAACAAACCTTATATCCTATATAACCTACATTTCCTAAATAATACAATCTATATATATGTCAATTATTTTCGGTAAAAAATTATTATGGTCTATTTTTACGGCAATTATTTTATTACTTAATATATAAAAATCTATTTACCTCTTAATCGGAACGATCATTTTTGTTGTTAAGTGTCAAAAGTCGTTAGCTATTAATGTATGGGAAGACACTCAGATAACCTTTAACTGCCTCTAAGAAGCCATTAATGTATATATAGCCTTACGTATAGAAACATAAATATTGTCAATATATAAATATTATTTGCGACTCAATCTAATGTAATTTAGAGACCGATGAAATTATGCTCTGGTTGCTTTTCAGTCATTTTATTCGATTTTTATCTTATATTCAGAGAACATAATCTTTCTTACTTGTCTTCGTATTAAATAGCCTAATTAAAAATTCATATTTTCCTGCAAGCAAATCAGGTTTTCCATTAAAATGCATCTTCTAAAAATAATTATAATACTGCAAGTCGTAAAATATAAAAGTGTAAAATATGCAAAGATCACAGGGGCGAAACACAAATGAATAATACACCAACAGACATCCTTTTTCATTTATTTATTAAAATTTTATTATATTATTACATTATATTATTACATCTTCAAGGAAAGACTTACAGTTGTATTTGTAACTTCTGTACTCTTATATTTTCAATTCTAAGTATCATTAGATTTGTTCGGTGTTCTCCATGCTTTCCGTTTTTGTGATCAGTCCACCATAGTAACAGGTCACTGCAATTGGTCTATTCTTTTCGAAATATTGTTCCGTTTCGACGCTATCTCCCTTTTTGGCTAGCATTCTCACCTGTAATTATATTTACAATTACATTTAATGACATCTAGAAATTATTTATATCTACATGAAAATTTAAATATAAATATAAAAACAGATCTATTTCTTACCTGTCTAATATTTACATTTCTAGGTAAAAAGTAGGCCACAGATGTTGATATTCGCCGTGCTGCTTTGTACACATGTTTTCCACCGACAGGAAAGATCCACTCGATATCAAATATTAACGATTCCAAATAACCCGGGCCACCCCAAGGTGGGCTTAAAAATACGACGTCGGCTTCCAACTTCGGCGCCAATTCGAGAAAATTGCCTACTATAAACTCGATTTTGTTGTCAACGCCATAAATTTTTGCGTTATGCTTGGCAAGTTCAATTTTTATAGGGTCAATATCAATCGCTATAACTGTAAAAGAAAATCGGAAAAATATATTTCTTTTCAAACATATTTATACAATAATTTTTGAAACGAAGAATGCAATGCAGAAATGAGCAAAAAACGAATATACTTAGTAGTACCTTTGTTACACGTCAACGCAAATTGTATGGTGTTGCCTCCTGCACCACAAAATGCATCAATGATGATATTGCATTTACATCGCCTTGCTATTTGTTTGGCGATTCTTTCCGGTGTTACGGAATACCAGCTCTCTGTAAGAAATACATTATCATTATAGATCTATTCGTTATATTGGCAGAAATATTTATCTTTCTCTGTTCAGGAATATTACAGAGACACATACCTTTGTCTAATTGAATGCCTTCATCGTATTTATGAAATAGTTCATATCGATTCAACCAATATCTTACGAGAGTAGGATCGTCTTCTACCTCTTGTGGAGGCTCTGCAGTATCATCTTCTGTCCTTAATCTTTTGCATCTTCTACGTTCCCAAAGTTCTTCTTCGTTGCTTTCGTTATCCTCAGAAACGTCCAGTTCCGTGAGTTCATGAACGATAATTTCTTCATTATCGTCCCATTCGGAATGGTTGTCCAACGCTTCTGACGAAGAGGAAAATGCACACGTACGTTTATTACTTTTCTTCTTATTAGGGCTCGGATCGCCGTCAGTGTCTGTTTCTAGGCAAGTACTTGTACCAGAACGTTCATCGGCACGTACTTTATCGTAGATCGCAGTCTCTGATGCATGCTGATGTTGCAATAACTGCCTAAGATCCTTTAATTAAAAACGGCATGTATAAGACACATGAATTTTTTTTTAGTCTTCTATTACTGAAAAAAAGAAAAAACTAACTTGTAACTGTAACAACGAATAGAGTGATGATCGATTGACAACACTCGCAGATCGAACGCAGATTTTCGTCATCCAGAATTTAATCTTATATTGATGTCACTCGTATAATATATTTTCGATGTGTCTTTACGATTAAAACAACGATTAAAACTTTTATTTACCTTATTTTGCAAGATTGCATCAGTGTCGCTAGAACACGGCTCGGGCAATTGCTCGTTTTTCGGCTTCACAGATTTTATGGCCTTCCATATGATATTACGTTTACGGAAAGTAATATCATCGTGCCATTTTATAGACTTTTCGGATCGGAAGACAAGACCAATCAATGAGACATTATTCGATTTTTGGGAACCGATCGAAATCCTCTTTTGCCGATGGCTAAACAAAAAAAAGATAAGTATTGTTATATATTTTCTATATACATAACACTGAATGGAAAACATGCTCGCGTACGAGGATTACTCGTATTTTCGAATTTCGAAGAAGTAATTTTCGAAGAAGTGATACCACAATATTTCCAAATATTATCATTTCCAAATATTATATTAGAAAAGCAACGATGGTGTCTGTGGTAGCGTCGTATGTTACATGTCGTCTACTTTTATATTGCACGAATAATCATCAAACACGTTGCATTAAACACTCTTAATGATATTTATGCGAAATTTCTATTCATTTTGGGTGATTCTGAATGGTTGCAACTATCACTATTAGATAGAATACTTGAAATGGCCAAACCCAACATTTCATTTGAACAATGTACTTACATTCGCCTTCGGGAAGTCACGTTGAGCCAATTAGTACGTTCATCTGAAGTTTTGTGCTGATCCTCCTCAGCAAAAGAACTTGGTATAGCGGTCGCATCTGGATCCATTGCCAGATTCTTCAGGAGAACACCCACGGAACTTGAGATCAGGTTTTCTGTTTTAAGTTTGTGCGATGTCGAAGATCGCGTATTCCTGGAAGTTTTGCTATTTTTCGTCGAACGAACTTTGTTCGGTGAAGACTTGTTGATTTGTATTGCATCGTCACTTAGATCAGCCTCTGTATCGTATTCGATATCTTCGTCGGTTAGGGCATGATCTACACTATGCGCTTTCGTATAACTCAATACGAAAAGTTCATACTGCTTTCGATATTGCAATTCGAAGTGTTCCCACCATAATTGCTGCCAGTATTTATCGTGTTCTCCCCGAAAATTGTCTTCGGGGTCTGAGGTACTAGTCACATCGCTTTCTTGTGTGGAATTCTCGAAAAAAATGTCAAGGTTCAATGAAAGAGATGACGAGGAAGAGCAAGAAGAAGAAAGAGATAAGGATGAATCATAACTGGAACTAGTTAGCGTCATTTTCGTAACGTTTGTCATGGAATCGGAAGTAACGTTTGTTTTCGCTATTGAACCATTAATGGAATCACACCTCGTTAATAATCTCTCGTCTTCCGCATTAGAATACTGATTATAGTTCTCTTCTATACTTGGTTGACTCAGAGGGTTCCAGCCTTCTCCGATAGTCTCATCTTGCGGCAATTCCTCGAGTATACGATTGTCGCTCGAATCGTCTTGGTGAAAAATTCCGTTCGAGGTCGAAGGTACAAGTTCACAGTTCCTGCACGTTTCGTTCTGGCTGCACATGTCATGCTCGTGACAATTTTTTGCGGTTGGTTCATTAATTTCTGCATTTTCCGGTTGCTCATCTTCTCTCGCCGTGTTACTCTGAAAATAATCAGGATTGATGTAATCCGCATATTTCTTAATCCACGATGTCCAGATTATTCGTTCTCCGTTTTCCGTCCAAAAATGCAACCACGCCCTGTGCATTTCGGTTTCATCATTTCCATGATACGCGGAATAGGAATTAATGTAAGGAGCATAATTATATTCCGTAAAAGAGTTATCTTCGTTGTGCGCTTTGCTTGCGGTATTGGTTGCTAAACTTTGTGCTATTAATTCCTTGTCACCTAATATAAGCAACGTAAAATCATTAAGATTCTGTTCTCTCACTTCTTTTTTACAGGATGGATTATAACCATATTCAAATTGCGTATAATAAGACGATACTTTGGCATTCTTGACAATGTAACGACCTCACAGATACTTACACTCAATATACTCAGTCAACATATCCATGTTTTTGCAGTCACTCTCGATTACTGTGTCTGTAGCTTTAAAAACTTTTGCACGAGATGTTGAGAGATTTCTTGCTTCATGTTGGTCACGATATTCAGACAAGTCTGCACCAGAGTCCGATTGGTGCAGACCCAGTTTCTGAGTTGAAGCATGTATGGTGGACCGGTGAGCAGAATCGCGTACTGAGTCATGTTCGTCTGTAGAATAATTGTTATCTGTGTGAGATGCACTGCCATAACAGCTTACCGGTTCCTCCTACATAAAAAGAATGATTGATTTAAAAATGATAAAACCAGAATATAACAATACTGAATCATTATACATGTATCTCAGTATTTAATATTAATGGATAAAATAATTATACATCATGCTTCTCTATAGACTGAGTCTCTATTCTAGATCCCTTGTCAGGATCCAATGTCCATTCCATAAGATCTTTCTCAATAGCTTCTTCTTCACTGTCATTTTCTGAACTTAAAACTGTGCAATTTTTAGTATCCCTACAAAACACATTAGCGTTAATACAATTTTAACTTACTGTCTTATAGATTAAAAAACTAAATTTGAGAAAGCTCTTTCTTTTGAAAATTCTTCATTTTTATAGCATAAATTTTACTGAAGCTATTATTAAGTTTTCTTTTATTATACTAACTCTCTCTCTCTTTCTTTCTCCTTCTCTCTCTCTCTCTCCATGGAAACATACATTATATTTTCTTCTTTATACATCTTTTATATCAATCACACTGGCTAAACAAGGAACACAATAAACAAATAACAATTATAGAATTCTAAGTGTTCTCTTGAGTCAAGTGTATAAAAACAATTTAAACATGAATATTTACTAAAGGTTAAATATGTTCCAAGGGAGAAGTATGTGAAATCTCAGATATCTACTAGATCTCATTATTATGCGAGGACATTGTATGTGCATATATATATATATATATAATGTATATATACATATATATATGCCCGTATATGTATATACATGTTTTTAAGTCAGCAAACTGACATAAAATGGAATGCGACTCTGATCTTACATATATTTACCCTAAAACCACTCTGCTAACGACACAACTGTAATAATCATCGATATTATCGGTCTTCTCCCGTTCAACGAGGTAGATTTCGGCTACAGGTTCCCAAAACGAGTCACACATTACGATACGATCAATTGTGCTCAATTTATTATCATTTGTCAAAAGTAAAACATGCCTAAAGTTCGAACATTAACCACACATATACATCAACATTGTATAAAAACAATCCACCACTTCTTCAGCTGCTCATGCGGAATGAGATCGGTGTGTGCGGCACAGTGAATTTATCATACCCATAGACACAAAGAGGAGATCGGCCACGTGATGTGAGAAGTGTAAGAACGAGCTCTCGATTCGTCTGTTAAGAGGTCTGTTCTTTTTCGAAGAACTTCTGTACTAGTGCAATAAGTGAGAGTGAAACAGATATATTTTCTTTCACACTCTAACTTATTGAATCAGTTTAGAAGTTCTTCGAAAAAAACAAATGCCAGGAAATTAAAATGGGTTGTACTTCTCTCTCTCTCTCTCTCTCTCTCTCTCTCTCTCTCTCTCTCTCTCTCTCTCTCTCTCCCTCTCTCTCTCTCTCTCTCTCTCTCTCTCTCTCTCTCTCTCTCCCCTCTCTCTCTATGTATGTGTGTATATGTGTGTGTATGTGTGTGTGTGTGTGTGTGAAAAAGAGAACAAATTAATTTCCTATTAAATTGTATATTCTAAAATAATTATGAGATTGAGAAACATAAAATATGATAGAACGAAATTTTTAATGAGATAAAAAAATACTTCCACCTCCCCTCTTTTTTATAATTGCTATTCGATTAGGATAAAATTTTTTAATAATCTTCTCATCAGTCATTGCATCGTGCTTAAAAATAAACAGAATGGCTGGTTTATCATTGAGTTGCATTACGATTTCGATTCTTTTCAAAATAAGCAAGGACATTTTACACAAAGCTCCATATCATCTTAGGCCCATATTTTAAACGATATGCAGCCAATAAAATGCTTTGTGTAATATGAAGTCTATTCCAAAATCGATTTTGGAGCAGGCCTAAAGTTTGCTTGTCGGGAAACGGCCAAAGGTTTCTTTCTATTTGCTAACTGTGAGTGACGTCATTTTTAGTTCCAAAATCTCCGCTACGAGCCGCCATTGTAGAGAAATCGATGTCGTGGTACAACCCAAGACAAGTCAGACGTCTATTCTAGTTCTTAAGTAGTATGACTTAACAGATTGTCAGCGTCACGATTATTTTATGAAACAAATGGCAAATTCAATTGATATATATACTCTCTTTACACCAATGCCTCGTAATGGTTTTGATACAAAACTCGAAAAAACACCGAGCATGCACTGGCATCAACAAGGTAATACTAAAGACTGTCAGCCGTAGGTAATTTTCGTACTGCCTGCCGTGGGTAAAGGGACTTCGAGAAGTTAGGAAATAATTCAAGAGTGATAACAATGTCCTGTTTTAACTACATCGAAGATAACACGAACATTTGTATCCTTGCCTTGCTTTCTATGTTTTTTAAAATATTTTTCAACTAAAGGACAGAGAGGGGCGGGGGGAGAACGGGAAGGAAAGAAAAAGAGGAAGAAGTAGCACCGAGTTTCACCCAAGTTTTCTGTAACACCGTTAGATGGCACCAGGTATTCCGTTATCTAACTTTTATCAGATTGTCATTTTAAAATGTAGTTCAAAAGTCTCAGTTACAAGTCGCCACTGTTCATAACGAGAAATCGAGCACGAAATACAACCACGACCGATCAAACGCTCTTTTTATTTCTAAATTTTACGACTTGAAATTCAACAGGCTGTAACTTTGATATATAATGATGACTGTAATGATGACAGTGAGATGATCCGAGAAGTATTTTACGATATAAAGAATTCCTAGACTTTTTGGATATATTCAGGATATCAAGTTGCTATCATTTTTCGCTAAAATAAATTGAGTTAAATGAGAAATGTCGCTACTTCTTTTTCGCGAGTTTTCCATTTCTGATTTATTTTTTAATTAAACTTTTATCACGATACAATTTATTTACATAAAAATTGTATTTTAAAGAATTGTGTTTTAAAGAATTACAGTATTAAACTTTCTATTTATTTGTTAATAAATATCGAACACAAATTCATTCGCTCGTTCGCTATAAGCGATCAAAGTCAAGAGGACGCTTTTTGCTCCAACAATAAAAAAAAAGAAATTCTATTGTAAAACCTGCGGATATACACTAATGATCCAATTCAACGTGTCGAAGTAGATTAATTTGACAACGCGCGAGATGAACATTTCCAGAAATACCCGACAGATAACGCTATCTCGCGGGATGCTGCGGTATCTCCGTAGTGCGAACGGAGCAATGGCGTAGGCGGCGATCCGTGTGATAAATTAATTTTTATTACTTCGTGGGTGGCGGCTCTTTCTATTGGTTGCCGATCGAGCGCCTCCCACCTCGTACAACGTAGCCTTCTCCGGCTTTATTCCGTTGCACCGGTGATAGAACGGCACACCATTTGTCTCATCTCAAGACGAGCTAGAAGCAAAACAAACGGGAGAACTGATTGCGATATCGCTGCGGAGATTGGGAGATTGCGCGCGGCCGCGGCTGGCGATAATGCGCGATGGATATTCATGCGAGGATGCACACTTCACGGATACACGCGCGAGATGTTGTATCTTCGCCGCGCGCGAATCGTTAAATCACGCGTCATTGGATTTATTTACGCACTCGTTCGATACGCATTTTACGATCGATCACGATGTCAGCGAAATCGAACGCCGATATTCAGCCACACACGGCGAACATAGTTGAAAAAAGTTGTCGCTGTAGAAAAAAAGTTCATAGTCCGAGAACGAGAATCATTATTATCGTTAATAGTTATAAATAACTATCAGACAATTGCCAAACCGGATATCTGTGGATCGATCGATCGATCAAGACACTGTATTATTTTTAATTTATATATTGGCCGATGCCAAATTTTATTCGTGAGGGAAAAACGTTTTCTAAATTAAATAGAAAAATCCACTCCCGAGAAAAAAACAGCGAGATACCATTTGCGTAAGCGAGAGAGAAGTTGCATTCTTGAGCACTTGTCTCATCACGCGTTGAAATCACCAACGCGTGACCGCGTTGAAGTCACCGGATGATGCGCGTTCGTTTGCAAAAATCGCCTGTCAAAAGTCGCTCTCGCATACGCATAATCGTTAAATCGGCGAGGAAGATCACGCGCAATCGCCTCAACACCTTTTTTAAGTTCTCTTATCATTTTTCAACAATACTCACTGTCATTCCTATTCGTGCGTCTAGATCTGCATTTGCGTGTTCTGGGGGGAGTTTGCACGTGGATTGCCTTTATCATTAAAATAGATGAACTTACGGCGCGGTATCGCAGCGCGAGATCTCACGACTGCTGCGGCCGCGTTTACTTTGGAGCGGCCGCGTCTGCGGTGGAGCTAGGGCGCGCGAAAGGAAGAAAAAAGAAACAGTACCCCGGCAATAAAGTACGCCATTATACGACGCGGTAGCGTTTTCTTCGATTACGTTTACGAGGTGGCTGACTGCTATACTTACGCGAGTAACCGTTAAACGTTACCTCGCGTCGTGTTTTATAGCACGAACAGTTCCCGCGTCTATCTATCTCCTCGGCCTCGACTGCGAGATCGCGATGCGTCCATCTTAGCCTTCCGGAAGTTCGCGAGTTCCGGTCGTCCGTCGTCGGTTCTCACCTCTGGCTCCTCACTGACCCAAAAACTGCTCCGCGAGAATCGAACGTGCGCGGCCGCGTATCCGCGCGCGATAGGTCCCGCGACTCTCCGAGAGGGAGGGACGAAATTCCCAACCGCGAATCTGCACAAGATACCTCTGAACTCAGCAAAAAAGGACAGGGGAGGGGCAGGAGGAGGAAGAGGACTAGAAGCGCGCATAGGTACGTGTGTCGTCGTCGTCGTCGTCGTCGTCGTCGTCTCCTCGGTCACGGGAGAATCGAGCCGCGCTGCTCCTCGCGTGGAGCAGGTTGTAAGAGCCTACGGAGAAGGCGGGGGAGAGAGACGGACGTAAGGCGGATAGACGGCGAGGGACAAAGTGCGATACGAACAGCTGGTACGACGGAGAGGAGCGAGGCGCGAGCGAGCGAGCGAGCGAGAGGAACAGCTGGACCGAGGTGCCTCCACCGCGCGCGCGGAGACGGATGCTACACCGAGAGCCGCGCGCGGTGGCTCTCGAGAGGGAGAAAGAGAGGGAGACGGGTATACAGAGGTATACGGATGGACGGACGGACGGACACGCGGACGGGGAGAGAAAGAGGCAACGAAGGCGGCTCGAAGGAGGGAGAGCGAGAGAGGGCAGTGAGAAAGACGAGAGCGGTGGCGGACAGAGAGAACGCGAAAGAGATCACCTTGCCAGGAGCGAGCGAGAGCGCGAGAGAAGGCCGCGGTAGTCTTTCTCGGCCAGGTAGGCGAGATAAGGACGAGGCGGACAAACGGACTGACGAAGGTGCCCGAGGTAGGGGATACTCAGTCTCGCGGCCACGTGCTACACGAGCGCACGCCCCGAGCCGGCCGGCGGTCCAGCCAGCCACGACGCCGTCTTCTTCCTCTTCTTCGTCCCCGTATCAGCCCGCGCACGTTCCGCCCGATGTCCGCTGGCTCGGTTGGTCCGTTCCTTTTTGGAAGCGTGACCGCTCGTCGTGTGACGCGCCCGCGATAGACGGAGGGAACAGTCGCGAAGTCGCGCGACGTCGATTCGAGCGAGCGTGAGCGAGCGTGCGATCGGTGCTGCTGCTGCTGCTGCTGCTGCTACTGTTGCTCCGGAAGGTGACCACCCGGAAGAACGAAACCAGCCGAGAGGAGGAACCCTGAAAAGGGGTTGACCTGACGACAACATTCGCGTGCTGTGATTCCACCCGACGGATGATCGCGCTTGCCTGCGTCGCGTCGCCTGCGAGGATATCGTCGAGCTCGAGGTGCGACGCGAGTGTGCATCGGAGTACACGATTGGATAAGATGAATGTCGGTTTGGTGCGATGATGACGTTATTAACGCGACGAGGACTGCTTGACGGCACATGCGGGGTGCGTGGATGAACGTGCGCGTCGTCGTCGACGGTGTGTGCTTTTTCTGTGCTTGCGAGCGAACGGCCGAAGAGCTGCGGCGGCGATGCGTCGCTGTTGTTGTTGCCGTTGACGTCGCGCGTCGGACTGACGGTTTGTCCGGAAGTGCATCAAGAGGAAGAGGGATACAGTGACACGAGAGCGGGAGCATCGTTGGACAGAATTTCGCACAGGTGCGTACTGGTATGTGCCTCTTATTTTTTTTTCCTTTTTTTCTTGTACGACTGCTCAAACTTTGCCGGTTCTCCTGTCGGTCCTGACAGATCTAATCTCCTTTTCGATTTTCCTATACCTTCTCTTATGAAAAAAAAAAATATAACGAATTTTTAGCGTTTGAGTTAAGCTCGGAAGAAATTCTCGAAAGAACACTTAGAAAAGCTCGAACCGAATTCGAGAAACGTAAATTAACACACCGCCGAGCGGTGTCGCCTCCCTGCGGTTTTTGTTAGAAGCAAACGTGACAACTCGTTAGGACTTGACACTTGAGTCTCTCGCTTTCTCTCTCTCTCTCTCTCTCTCTCTCTCTCTCTCTCTCTCTTTCTCCTTTTTTTTCGCAGCAGTACATTCACTATTCGAGCGCGTCGGTTAGGCTAGTTCGGAGACGATGAAATTTTCGCGGCGACATTCAACGCGACAGCGTGAGATTTCCGGGCGCGTGTCGCGCGAAATTAATCGCGCGCGAGCGCCGGTCCCCGCTATTTATTTATAACATAATTTCCCGACGCCGTTGTTCGCATCGCTTCTTGATCAAGCGGCGTTTGAGAGAATCGTGACAACACGCTCTTGTACAAGCAAGCTGCAAACAATGTCGTGGAGTCGCGCGATCTCTCGCGAGAGCGTTTCGGTGAATCAACGCGACGATACTTCTTTCGCAACTCGATGAAACGTTCCGCGGTTTCATTTATCCGGGACCTGCCGCATCTCGCTGCCCGATTAATCTCCCGCATCGAGCCCGATTCACACCTGCGTCGCGGCAGCTTCTTTGATCCAGCCGCAGAAGTCGAAGGTGTCTCAACTCGCTACCGCCGCGACACGTCGACACCCGACACCCGACACTCTCGAGACCCTCCGAAGACGCCCAATGCGGATGTTGCGGTGGCTTTTGGCACCGCGCGCTCTCGAGCGGCAGTTGCACGACTCGGCCTGCAACATCGGTCGCAAGTTCGCGTATGAAAATCGATCGGTTCGATCGGCCGCGCTCGCTATTAATAACAGCGGTCGCGCACGGCTCGTGTTCGGCACCGGGCGGTGCCGTTACACGTGAAAAATGCATTCGGCTCGTTCTCGCAGCGATTACGATTAATTTGTCACGACATCGGCCGCGGGCCGATGGATGGGAAGGGCGCAACAATTTCAACCGTCTATAGCCTACGGCACGGTGATATCCGCGTGACGCGCCGCGGCTCTCACAACCGGTTCATTAAAAGTGCAGTCCGCTCGTCACTCATTGGCTGCCACGAGGCTTGCCAGCGATCGGGATGTCCGCTTGGCGGAGAAAAAGAGAGAGAGAGAGAGAGAGAGAGAGAGAAAAATTAAGGAGGAGCGACACGTGTGCGTACACATACAAGCGACGTTTCGGACACGAACGCGTCTTACCTTTCAATCATTATTGTTATCGCGAAGATGAGCGGTGGTAGCCGAGCGATCGCGATGCCGCCTGTCAGTTGGAAAAAGAAATATCGCCGGAGACGATCACGAATTATTAATAGCGCGTTAGGAGCGGCGGTGACTTTCGCAAAGCGAGAGAGGGACCGCGATCATCCCGAGAGGGAGAAACGACGAATTAGCCGCGCGACGACGAAACGCGCGCACGGTGGATCGTTTGAAACCGGCCGAGCGAGCGTTATCCGTCCGGATAAATTTGCATGGATCTCTCGACGGATGTCTCAATACGTCGCGAGCGTGCGAACTTTCACAGGTACTGATACATCGGGTCTCACCCCGGCTGATCGCCGCGGAGTATCTCGGTGCTCGGTGCTCGTGATGTACAGCGCGGCTCCCGTGCGTTTCGCAAAAGAAATTCCCCCGGCGACGTAATTCATTCATCCGGGCCGCGCTCGCACGGATCGCTCGCATGGATCAAAGCTCGTTGAGATCACGCTGGCCTGACGTTCGCTCCTCGCCGAGGCGACGCGATCGAAGCATCGCGTTCGAGGCGCGCGTCGAAATGTCAGAGCGAACGTTGCACGGCGATCGTGGCAATCGCGCGATTTAATGCCTGCGCCATTAGCTCTCGCGCCGCCTCGCGAGCTAATTACGCCGCTAACACTCCGATTATTTCTCTAATTAAAGCCGCAATCGGTATCACGACGCCCGTGGCGTCGCAATCAAAGCAGCCCGCGCGCTGCGCGCGGACTGCTTCGATTTATCAGCGGAGCGGAGCGCAGCTTGCGCGAGGAGGAGACGCGCGAGCGAGTCTCAACTTCGCGACCGCTCGTTCTTTAGAGTCCGAGGACGCGCGACAATCTGCATTAATACCGAAAGGACGTGCGGCGCGACTTCGCGCCGTTCGATGACAGCTGAGACATATCGGCGACGACGTCGCGTCGCGTCGCGTCGGCGCGATAATAGTTTCGCACGCGCGAACGAGAATGGTCGTCCTTCGCGGCGCATCGGCTAATGAAATACGCTCTCGTCTCGACTCGAAAATGCAAATAGGAAAAATCCTGATGTCGCCAATGGTCTGTTACCGTCGTCGTCGTCGTCATAACTCGAGGACACGTGTTCATCGCCGCGTTACAATTGCGCTACCGCTTCGGCGGACGGACGCGCGTTAATCCGTGAAAACAAGGATTTATCGGAGCCCCGTGCGCGCGCGCGGCGAGGCGACGATGTATTCAGCGGAACCGGTCTTCCGCCGCGGCCATACGGGCTCTTAATTAATTTGTCATTAGTCTGCGAAGACGGCGCGCAATAAAATTTATCGGCGGCGTGGCCGATTACGTTCGACTTGGGCGCGCGACGACTCCTTTGCCGACCTGAAGACAGATAGACGCTCATCGTCGTCGTTTCGGCGCTGCCTCGCGCGAGTCGCGATTCTCCCCCCGGAGGGCTGAAACCGTAATGACGAGTCTCAACAAAGGACTTATTTCTTCGTCGCGGCCCTGGCGTCGCTGCTGGACGCGGCTCCTCGCGAGGATGAGGCCCGGCCCCAGCGGTCACGACGGCTACCCGGAAAGCACATTCTTATACGATAAAGCGCCGTTGGGTGCGGAGTTGAGAAACGAGGAACGGTTCTTCCGATACTCAGACAAGTGCACCACGCGAGCGCGAGCGCGCGATGACGAGGTTCACGCCTTGATGGCTTTGAATTATCAGCGACCGCGACGGCTGAAAGCCGTTTCGGCCGAGAGGGGCGCGGGGGTGCAAATTGCGCGCGTTAATTGTGGATTTTACGCTTGTTTGCTCGGCAGCCATTAGCGCTCCGGATCAGACTGGTCGGCTCACCTCGCGATTTTTACGCGCCGCCGCGGACTCCGATATGTGTTGCCAACAGCTCTCGGCCGGCTCGCATAATCTGCAAATTCGTGCCATTTAAGCGCAATCACGCGCTTCAATTATAATCCACTCGGGATATCCATCCCGCACGCGTAATCTCCGCGCCGCTATGGATTCTCGCGCATAAACGCGATCGTGTTGCAAGCTGCGCGCCGCCACCGCCGCCGCCAATTACCGCGTTCTTAATCGTGGCTTTGTGATTGACTGATCAAGCTTCCCGCGCAGATGTCCGCCGGCCCTTCCCCTCCCCCCTCCACCACCCCCCCCCGCCCGTCCGGCAATTAACGCTCACTTTCGAATCGCGTCGCGAAAACTGGACCGATTTTCCGCGAATCCAGAGAGCACGGCTCTCGTTCTCTTCGCACATTGTGTTCCACGACGGACGAATCGATTATTGGCCCCCCTCGAGCTCGAGCTCGCGCGCGCGCGCGCGCGGCGGATTTACGACATCTCCCGTTGCATCTCGCGTTGCAACGGCCGGCCGTCGCGGAGTTCTTCTTCGGCAAATTGAAATTAAATCTCGGCGATCACAGAGCGCGGCACGGAGTTTACGCGCGTCGGCCGGGTTCCCACGTGGCGCGCGGACGAAAATTAATACGTGGCAGCGTCTGTAATTAGCTCTCGTATTTATGCGCGCCTCGCAGGGCGGGCTGCGTTAACATGGTAATGGCGTTACACCGTTGTAAACACGACATGTTATCTCGAGCGATACGCGAGCGGGTGCGGGGGCTCGGCTCGGCGACCTCGCGATTTCGGACGACTCTCGTTCTCCCTCCTCTCGTCCTCCTCTCCCTCTCCCGTTCTGCTCCTCCTCTGTCTCTCCCGCGTGCGCGCGTCCGCGACCCTCCGGCGCGCCGCTCGTATTCTGAAATAATTATTATACGCCGCGCCGCCGATACGCCGCCGTTCGCGTTCGCGCGTTCGTCCGCCGTAAAAACGCCGCGTTAATGGCCCGGGAGATATCCGTTACTGTACATTCGGCCGGCGGTTCCAGCAGCAGGCGACATTCAACGGCAGCTCGGTTCTGTGCGCGCTTGTATATACCTGCTCGATGCGCTCGCGAACGAATCGCCGAGTGTGGGGTTCTGGTCTCTGGATCGCCGAAGAGGCTCGGTCCACCCTCGGTGAAACGTCATGCGCGGTCTAACATTACAGAATCGGCGATACGCCGAGTGTAACTGGTTATTTTATGCTCATTGCTATGAGCAACGTCGCGCTGAAGAGCGACCGAGAGTCCCTCGAGAGTCATTCGGTCTGTTCCGCTTGTTTCAGGCGGGGAACGAGTGAGGATCGCGCGTCGCACAAACACCTCGGTGACGTGAGCACGTGAGCAACGCGGGAAAAGCGTGCAAAATGTTGGCTCGCTACCTCAAGCGGAAAGAGGGCAGGTCGGCTTACAGGCCAGGACGGCTGACACCGAGGGATTAAAGAGCGTCGAATGGACGTGGGCGATTTGTCGAGCCCGGCAGGATTGTCAGGGAGCGGAACCATCTCGGGTGCGACGGGTGTTGGTATCATCGCCAACACGACATCCGCCACCTCAGGGTGGTGGACGCCTACGTCGACGATCACCTCGGCAGCGGCCAACACCGACGTGGTGAGTCTCCTGTGTTCTCTCATTTTTTTCTTTCTCTCTCTGCTTCTTCGATTCGAGCTGTCGCGGAAGTTGCCCCCGATCACCGCTGGAACGTTTTGCCGACGAACGTCAAGTGTGAAAAAAGTGCATAAATTTTTTAACGTGCGCTGAGAAGAGAGCTGCGCACGCATGTTTTTCATCGTTTTATTCTGTTTACGATTTATCGCGCGTAGGGCGAAAGTACATCGGCTGCATCAGCCGATTCTTCGCAAACAAGGACGACACGATGATACTAATAATATCTTTTACGTCAAACGATGCGTGCAGTTACATGGTCAACGGTGGAAATGAAAAAAGATGATCATTTGTAGTAAAAACCTGTATTAATGTCGAGGGTTAATTGCCGGGTGAGAGAGGGGGAAGAAAAGACAGAGAGAAAGAGAAAGAGATTCGCTTGTCATGTAGCCTCTACGAGAATTACGACTTTTCTTTATATCATTCAAATACGGTATTTCTGTGGCATTTAATGCGTTTAATCATGGGTTTCGCGATTCAATTAAATTACAGTGTCTCTCTCGCAAACTGATCGGGTTGGAAGTACGTAGCAGTCGCGCGAATTTGCGCTAGTCGTCGCTCGCACGCTTCATTGGTATTTACACACTGACTGAATTATTCCCGCCGAGACTCGCAATCGCGGAATAACGGGGATCCGAGCTCGGGGAACGGCCGAGATCGCCGAAAGGGAAAAGGCGCGTACGCTCGTTTGCGCGATATGAAAAAATATGAGAGAGGAGAAGAAGAAACGACGAAGAGAGACGCACGTCGCCACCGTCGTGTTCTTCATGGTCGCGCGCTTGCGCGGTGACAGGCTGCGTCTGTAAATGAGATTCTCGCGCGGGTGGGCGACCTAACGACCAAAAGGATTCAGACCGACGTGCTTGGCCGTCGGTCGGCGGATCGGCCGTGCGCTGCGCGATGCAGATTATCCGCAAACGCGAGAAGAAGCGCGGCTCGCTGGCTGGCGAGCGCGTTATTTAGTCCCCCGTGTCGATGCGTAGCGGTCTGCGGCCGCGGGGATTAGAACCGAGGTGACATAGCCGCGTCATCTGTTGGACGTTTAACCTTTTTTGCCCGCTTCCTCGTCCTGCGGACGAGGCTCCTTGCCGCGATTTCCGCGAGAAGTCATCAGCCCGCGGCCGCGGCGCATACGCTCGCGGGTTAATGAGATCGAGAGTCGTTTTCGAGTACCTGCACGCCGTTTGACGTTCACGGTGGTCGACGGCAGACGGAAAAGCGCCGATATATTTCTGAGAGAGAGAGAGAGAGAGAGAGAGAGATCGACCGACGCTTTCTTCCGTCCGATGCGCCGTGAAGAAGACACGTTCGCGGCACGACTGCGCGTTCGACGGCAGCCGATATTCATGCGCGATCAATAAATAACGCGTCGACTTTCGGTTCGCTGTCGAAATATCCCGGCGATTCAGATCGCCGCGTCGTGCAAGCTCCGTCGTCCATCGCGAGAGCGCTCGCTCGCGCAATCATTTTGTAATCAGACCCGATTCCGTAACCACGCGGCGGTGCCTAAATCCGTAGACGCTCGGAGCGAGCATCGAGACTATTAGCCGCGGATATTCATCATCATCAACGAACCGAAATGTTAATCGCGTGTAAAAGCGCCCGCCTGTAAAAACCGCCGCTCGTCAAATAATCGCGCGCGAGCGAGCGAGCGAGCGAGCGAGCGAGCGAGCGACGCGTCCCTCTCGGCGGCCGGCCGGCCGGCCGGGCGAATTCGAGCGACGCTCCCGGATCATCGACGAGCGCGAGCGCGGCGAGCTCTCGTCGATCACCTGCGATCATTCCGCGCGCGATCAATTTCTCGTCGCGTCGTTACGAAAGAACGGCGGCCGACCGTTACCTCGGTTCACCCTTTTCGTGTGGGAATCGGGCCCGTGCGAGTCACATCCTCGCTCTTTGCCCGCCACACACAATCCGCACGCTCACGCCACACACATACACACATGCCGCCGCCGCCGCCGCCGCCGCCACCGCCGTCTCTCCTCTCTTCTTCGCCTTTCTCGCAGCTCGGCGGCCGGTCGCCGAGCATCCAGAGCCGCGGAGGAGCTTGCCGGCCCGGTAATGACTGGCTAACTAGGTTTTAATAGGAACGCGGTCTCTCTCGCAACGAAATCCCCGCAGCCGCCGTCGCGTCGATCCTCGCGGCAAGAAAGGGTTCTGCTTTTTCTTTCTTTCTTTCTTTCTCTCTCTCTCTCTCTCTCTCTCTCTCTCTCTCTCTCTCTCTCTCTCTCCCCTTTTCTTTTTCTTCCTCTTCCTCCGCCGCAGCGCGTCGTCACCGCCGTCGCGATCGTCGGATGGCAGCTTCGCGCTGGTGCCGTTCGCTCTCGGAGAGGATCTTCTCCACGGAGCAGATGCGAGTGCGCTGATTGGCGAGCGCAATACCCGCGCGGATCGACGTGCGAGATTTCGCACAAAGACTGCGTCCCACGACAGGTTGTAGTCGGACATTTCCCGACGCGAGCTCGAATCCAGGAATTCTCGAGATTCTCCCGAGCGACGTTAGATCGCGGGATTCGGCGAAAGTCAGGCAGGAGGAACGATTTTATTCTCGACGGATGGATTGTTCACCGTTTGAGGATATTGATCAAGCGGAACGAAGCTCAAATCGCTTTATCTAAATTGACGAAGTAGACGAGTGAATCGCGGGATGTCAATTTCGCGATGCGATATCCTAGAAAAAAGTATAATTGGATGATATTGAGAGTCAGATAAAGAGAGGGGCGGGAGGGGGAGAGGATCCAACGCGTACATGTCTCATGATTGTAACGCATCATAGTGCTTCTCGTTGTTCCGGCCTCGGGTTTCGAGAGCGCGTCGGACTCGAGGAACCCTTCCGTGATTGGCAGACATTGTACGTGGATCAGGCGCGATCATCGGGCACATTCTGCGCGTCCTCGGGACCCCGTGCGTAACCACATGTCGCATCTTTTTGTTGCAGATGAATCAGCTCTGCAGGGTTTGCGGAGAGCCGGCCGCGGGTTTTCACTTCGGGGCCTTCACGTGCGAAGGCTGCAAGGTCAGTATATCTCTTCGCGTCGCCATTCTTCCGCGGCTATTCATCCGTATCGTTTATTCACCGACGACGAAATGGAAAAAGAGAGGAAAGGGACAGGAAGAGAGAGAGAGAGAGAGAGATAGAGAGAGAGAGAGAGAGAGAGAGAGAGAGAGAGAGAGAGAGAGAGAGAGAGAGAGAGAGAGAGAGAGAGAGAGAGGAGCGACGAGGAAGAAGACGAGAGATCATTACCCGTTTCTCGCGACGTGTGACACTCGCGCGCTTGAAATTACTTAAATCGCGCAGAGCCGCGCCGTGGACGAACAAAGAGCGATCGAGTCGCGTTGTCTTTTGTGAGAGAGCCCGGGCTCTCTTACATCGCCGACGACGTGATGCGCGAGCCGCGGCGCAGGGATAGTCCAGCGTGCTGCTCGAAATCCGTCTCGCCGTTAATTCACCGTTAAATCAAAAGAAGAGAACAATTACCGCGCGCGCGCGCGCGCGCGCGCACGCGCGCGTCGGGACGGCTCCGAGACGGCTCTGTTGTTTAGAGCTTTAATTGCGACTCGTGGAACGGTCTCATGTCTACTTCCGGTTCTACCTGTCGTAGCGGACAGGCATTCAGCGCTGATGACCGAATAGACGTAGGTTTCCGAGGAGGAGACTGATCGAGAGATTCTACCGCGATGAGTCTCACGCGCGTTCGATTTTGAGAGCTTCCTGACGGCGAATCGCCAAGGTGCCCGATCTCTCTCGGTCGACTCTCTCTCTTGCCACTGACCAATGCGCGGCTCTTTCGCTTTCTGTTACACAGTCTTTCTTCGGGCGCACCTACAACAATCTGGGCAGCATCTCCGAGTGCAAAAACGGCGGCGTCTGCGTGATCAACAAGAAGAACCGCACCGCCTGCAAGGCGTGTCGCTTGCGAAAGTGCCTGATGGTGGGCATGTCGAAGTCGGGCTCGCGTTACGGCCGCCGCTCCAACTGGTTCAAGATACACTGCCTGCTGCAGGAGCAGTCGCATCAGGCGCAGACACGCCTGATCAAGGACCCCAAGTCTGCCTACGAGAAGGCCTTCGGCTCGCTGGACGCGGCGAACAACAATAACAGCAACAGCAACGCCGAGAACGCGAGTAACACGAGCGCGAGCAGCATCGTCAGCGTCGTCACCACGGCGACCACCACGGCCAACAACAGTTACCATCATCATCTGCACCACCACCACCACCACCACCCGGACCGGTTGCCCAAGAGGGAGGACGGCGGCGCTCTCAGGCCGCAGGACATCCCGATGCAGCTGCGATCGCCGGAGATGCCGCCGCGAAGCGGCCAAGAGCCGATCCTGAGGCCCGGCGACCTCGCGCGGGCCCCGCACGAGCTCCTCAGGCCCGAGGTCTCGAGGTTCCCTATGTGGAGAGGCCCGCCGCTCTTCCACCCGGCGCTCACGCACATGCAGCTGCTGAACGCGCCGTTCTTCCCGTTCCAACAGCGCTTCATCGTACCTTACGTGAACCAGGTGAGTCCGCCGCAGATGGTGACCAGTCTGTCCAGCTCGTCCAGCGAGAGCGTGACCCCGCGCTCGACCCCGTCGCCCAAGAGGAGCGAAGAGAACCGCGAGTGTCGCGAGCCCGGCCGCGAAGCGGCCGAGCGAGGTTGCCCGAGGGGGGCATCGGTCGAGGTTACGTACGACAAGAGTTTGGCGTTCTTGCGATCCCTCGGACCGGAGCAAGAGGAGCCGATGGACCTCAGCATGAAGGACGTGCGAACGGACGGCCAAGAAGCGGACGCCGGCAGCACAGAGGAGGAGGACAAGTCGAGCGACAGCGAAGACAACGAGCTCCTGCAGGATACCGGGCCGCCGTTGGACCTGACTCGGAAGACATGACCACGGACACCCGACGAAGGTGCTCGATAGGAACTCGACCGGCTCGGACGTTCCAGGCCGTCCCGAGCAAATCGTCGCGTCGCGAAAGCTGCTGCACCGGGAAAGCTGCCGCGCCGCGGCGGGAGGAGCAGTGGACGCTCGAAGGAAGAAGCTGACTGAGATGGGGAAAGAGATGATGAAAGAACGAGGAAGGCGGGAGAAAGAAAATGCGAGGAGAGGGAGAGGAAAAAGCAGAGGGGCAGAAGAAGAGGAGGAGCGGAGGTACAGTTACATATCGCAATGACGCGGCGGGCGCGAGAATCACGGCAAAGTGTCAAAGATGTCAAAAGACGAGGCGCAAGGGAGAGGAGAAGAGTAGCCGAATACGTCTAGGTCGGAATGACACGAGGAAAAGTGAGAGGAGGAAGAGGCGGGGAACGCGACTCGCCCGACGCTGAGGACGAAGGAGAAGAAGAAGCAAAAGAAGAAGCAGCAGAGGAAGAAGAAGGAGATGAGGAAGGAGGAGCAGGAGGAGCAGGAGGAGGAGGAGGAGGGAGAGGAGGAGGAGGAGGAGGAGAAGAAGAAGAAGAAGAAGAAGAAGAAGAAGAAGAAGAAGTGCCGCGCATAGCCAGCCGGCATAAACGGCTTTACGATCGGCGACCGTGTCCCGATCGATGAAAATTGCTCAAGCCGCTCGGTATCAGCCGGACACACGGCCCTTTGGCCCGGTCGTACCTCGGCAGGCAGATGCACGTCGACGCGAGGCGAGGCGGGGTCATCGGTTCGCGCGATACGTGTGTTCTTCACCCTGTCGGGGCGACGTACGACGAACGATTGTGCCTTATTATAAGCGGCGCTTCCCAGAGCGCCGCGTCGCGCCGCGGTGTCAAAGCAGGCGTGACAGTTTAACGTTAAACGATATATGTAACCGCAACGTTCGATGGCCAGTGAGAGAGCAGCGCTCGGCGCGCACCATCGCGAACGCCCGTTCGCCGGAATGCGTTCGCGGTCTGCGCTCTTCGATTCCGCGCGCTCATCGCGCCGGTCCGCCGAGAACTCTCGCCGCGCCGCGCCGCGCCGCGCCGCAGCGAGACGCTCAGCAGGCCGGACGAGGGTGACGCGTCGTGGACGGGATAAATTGTGATTTCGCGAATTCCAAGTACCCGTAGCGTAACTTATATCTTTTCTCGAGGATCCTGTTTCTCGGGCATGCATGGCAAGCAAGCACGTGTGAGAAACGCTCCGAAACGCTCGCAGTTTCGTTCTTCGCGGCCGAGATCGCGATTGCGCTCAAGTACAAAACAAGAGGGGACACGGGGAGAGGGAGACGCGGTAGTCGATATGATCGAGCGATACGCGCGCAGAACGAGCGTCGTTGGAGTGTCTCGAATGTCCGAGAGCGAGAGCGAGGGAGAGAGAGAGAGAGAGAGAGAGAGAGAGGGAGAGCGCGAGGTGGAATAAAAAAATATTGTATACCTGAATGTGACACCTTGATCGTCGTTCATTAAATCCCTCCATCGATCTTCGATCTCCCGCACATCGTTGCGCGGGCACATGCACGTCTACGAACGCGAGACGGTATTCCATTACTTTCGTCTCTCGCGCGTCTCTCACATTCCTCAATTGCGATGAACGCGCGCGTCTACATGTATGTATGTGTGTGACCCCGCGTATTATAATATTATACATGCGCGCGCGCATGTACGGACGCGTATCATCGTACCACCGATGTTATTTATCTAGCAATAAATTTGTCCGGTTTGATATACTACGCGAAACACGTTTTCCCGATAGTTTCACGCCGAAGCGGCGCGACGTTCGATTCGCCCGCTCGCTCGCTCGCTCGCTCGGCAAGAATGATGCGATTCCCCCCTCGCCGGGGACGTCGAAAACGCTTGACAATAAATTTTCTTAAAAGTTCAGCAATATATAAACACGCGAGTATATCGATCGTAAGGTTTCTCTTCCTAAGGTCGCCTGACCGGGTCAGCCGCGCGCGCGCGCGCGCGCGCGTGAAAAAAGTTTCGCCAAGAAGAAGACGCGCGAAACGGGCCGCTTGACGAGGAGCGCGCGTACCAGGAAGTGCGTACTTGCGCGGAAGTTTTATTGCTAATTACGTTGCTCCACGAAATCAAGGTGGTTTCGCGCCGCGTCGTGTCGCGTCGCGGTTCCGATAATTTATGAATATCCGCGTCTCTCGCCGCGGGAGGATCCGCCGCGGCGAAGCTCGTTCGTGCCGCGATTCACGAAGAGAGAGAGAGAGAGAGAGAAAGAGAGAGAGAGAGAGAGGGGGGAGGGAGAGAGAGAAATCACGACCGTACTCACGTTTCGCGACACGATTCGTCCGCGGAGTTTCGTCGTATAGGAAAGTTTTCACCTGTCTTGAAAGGTTTCCGCCTCCGTAGCCTCTTTGATGAATATCTTAATGCATCTTTAACCGTTACGGTATTATTAGCGGGGTTTATCAACAAACGACGCCATGCCTTTGCGGTGTTACAGAAACCAATATAAATCGCCAAGAATTATGCAAAGGGAGAAAATTGCGCAAAGGAGTAATAAGGAGAGAAATATTTCCTTTTTTTCTTCAGTCGTCAAGCACGATCTCTTAAAATCCGCATTCACACTTGAGGTGGAGCGCGTTACTGCCAACCGTACACGTTCGGGGCGTTCGGAAGTCTCGAATTTCACAAAATTCCACACTGTGTAGGCGCGTGTGTATGAATACCTGCTTAATTTATGCGCAGCCGGCGCAGGCTCGCGAGTACTCGCAAAGGATATCTCCAAAGTTAGACTAGGACGTAATGAGTCTGGCGACACGACGCGAGTTGTGCAAGAGCGCAGAGCGCGCGCAGCTTCTCAAAATCGTGTAAAGTTTGCCGCGCGCGAGCCCCGAGACAAGAGTTCTCTGTCAATATCCTCGGGAACGAAATGGCCTTCCACGAGCTAGAGCTCTCAAATAACATCTCGGTACATATTGCGAGCATGTTTTCGCATATCTCCAGCAAAAAGCCGGACGGCTCGCGTTTCTCGTCAGCGCGCGACAATTAGTATAGAATTCGTGAATTACTTGACGCGGTCGTCTCCGATGCTACACGCGCGATCTCCGGGCTGGACCGTCGTCTACTATGTGCGCGCGTTTTCGCGCATTACCGAAGATACAATTTTAATCATGACTTGGTCCCCGTTACACTTCTGCGCGCAGTCCTCACGCACTTCACCGTTCCCAACGCGATATAATCGGCCGGCCGCTTGGCCGCGATAACAACTCGCACAATGCGAATGCGGCTACTTCTAATTGAACGAGCGCTTTTATTCCCACCCCGATTCCGGCATTCAGCCGAGCCTTTCATCGGTGCTGGTGATTACGGCACCGAATCACTGTTATACGCGATATTAAATAACGCAATGATTCGCGCGATCGTGTGTTGCGCGCGTGTGTTCGCAATTATTATCATTACGCATTTAATAACGTTCCGCAAGGCGGGTCGAGCTATCGTCGGAGATTTCCTCTGCGTGGCATACCACGAGCGAGTCTCGCCGACGGAGGTGGTCCAATGGTAGCTGCTACTCGAGCGTTTCCGCGTTTCGATCGCTCCGCGAGGCTTTCTCGACGCGGCCGAGAAAATTCGCGGGGAAACTCACGAAGAAACGTGCTCACGCGAGTGACGGTGTCCGCGGCGGCGGCGGCGGCGGCGGCGGCGGCGGCGGCGGTGGCGGCGGTGGTCTCGGCGAGAGGTGTTCACCTGCGTGTGCACCTGCATGCGCGTGTTCTACGCGCGGTTACACCCGTAACCCCGCGACGGTAAAATACCGTCGTGTCCGCTTGTTGACTTAGGTGGAACGAGAGAGGCCACTCGATGTCCACCATCGCGCCGCGCGGTTTCCTGTCGGGTCCCTGATTCAGGTTTCCGAGGGGGCAGGCAGGCATACGCCGAGAAAAAGTGTGACAAGACGTAATATCGCGCGCACGTAGCCATTTGAAATTCCCCCGGGACGAGGCGCGTCGCGTTATCGCGTTGTCGCGAGATACGTATGAACTCGGGTTGCTTAGAGCGACTTGCATTTTTGACCGCGGAAAAATGTTCGGAATGTTCCCCGCTTTCGTCAATTTACGTTCGACAAACTCGAGGTGGCAGGACCTCACCTCATAACCGATCCGACAGCCGAGACGAAGAAAAAGAAGGGGAGACGAAGAGTTATCACGCCGGCTTGGCACCGGACCGAGCAACGTGCGCGTCTCGTATCACGACATGTATAGCCGGAATTTGTCATGACGATAAGGCGCGTCGTACCGTCAAGTGTAAGTCGTGAAAAGTCACACAGGCGATTGGTATCGTCGATCAGTCGCATTCTTGTAACATCGAAAAGCGCGCTAAGTGTACGCGAGAAGCCATTAATCACGTCTATCAGGCGGACGCTGCCGAGGAATTCGATCGTTTAATCATTCTGACACCTTGTCGAACGTGACACACGCGAGGGGGTCACATCCGTTATTCCGTCGTCCTTAAAAGCAGGGTCAATTTCTGCGCTCGGACTTTTTTTTTTGCGCCGAGCTCCCTTCGCCGCGTCGGATCGCGCGCTGCTCATTCCGTTTGCACGCAATTCTTTTCCACGCGCTCCCCTTGCCGATATCGATGTTCCCGAAGACGTCACTCACAACTTCCGACTTTGACAAATGGAGGATCGCCGTGTGATCATCCTCGGTGGAGTGCGCACAGGTACCTTTCTCCACCTTGAAATTTGGACTCGTCTCGCGCGAGAGCACGACAGCTCCTTCTCCTCCTCCTCCTCTCTTTCTCTCACGTGCGCGCCACCTTGATATATCCTTTATCGCGCGACGAGCCGTCGTTTTATTGTCGGCAACGGCGGCGAACAACCGATATTCCAGCGGACGGACGGGGTCCTATTCGCATCCGCTCGAGTAACCGGGGTGTTACCGCACTGCGTTTCAAAATAGGCCTCGTCTCGAGGTCATGCCATGTCCCTGGACGTCTAAAAATTCTGACCACGTCATCGCGCGACCGTCTCATCGCGCGGGAGAAAGAGGGACGCCCGATTTTTGTGCTCGGCACTCCGCAGAACCGTTCGATCCCCGCGAGAGAGAGGGGGGAGGGGAGATTCCTCGAGACGTCTCTCTCTCCCACGTCGTGAGTGCTGTATGTATGTGTGTGTGTGTGTGTGTGTGTGTGTGTGTGTGTGTGTGTCAGTGTGTATGTATATTTGCCAATGTCCTTTTTTCTCTCCTTGGCGTCTCTCGCGCCTCCTAGATGAGTTACGTAAATCTCGACGAGGAAACCGTATAGCACGACCATCTTGTCATAAATTAATAAACTCTCTTAGTCTCTCTCTCTCTCTCTCTCTCTCTCTTCCTGTCTGTTACAAGAGCGATTGAAAGAGAGTGAGGGACGAAAAAATGCCGGTAACCGGAAGGGAGCGAGAAATAGACAGACAGACGGACGGACCGACAGACAGAGAGACAGACAGACAGACAGAGGGGGAAAGAAGGCGGGAAG